TAAAACTTCTTTTCCTGTCCTTTTTATTTCATTTGGACCAAGAGAGAGACTGTAATTAAATCCTTGCTTTATTCTTTTGTTCTTGTTGTGAATGGTGTCAATAAAAGCAGAGCTGGAGAAACCATAGAGGGTACTATCTGGAATAATTATTGATTTTTTTTTTCACTTTTTACTTATTCTCTTTTTGCCTCCAAAGGATCACTGTGCAAAAATGATATTGAAAAATCTATGGAAATTTTGAAGCCACCAAATATATCTTTGCTAGTTGAAGCATGTGAAGTACACAAAGTCAGTAACAGAAGCTTGTTAGAACTATTGAAATTGTATTAAATGTTCTACAAGCTACAGTCTTAATAACTATTGATTTGCTTTGAGCTATAAATAAGGATTAATGTTCTTTAGTTCTGCATTGCAATTCTTCTCTGTAGTTTTCCACACCTGAACACTCAGCAGAAATGTTGAAAGTGTTTTAAACTAAAGGATCTGTTCTGCCTTTTCATGATTATGCGTGGTTATCCTAACTTTATTCTCATCAATCTCTTGTACTGTCATGGTGTGTTGTGGTCAGATCATAAAGGTTATAAATTTCAAAATAAATTTCAGGATTTAAACAAATGTATTTAAAGGTGTTGAGTCTCCAACATGTGTTTTGCAGAATTATAGATGAATGGAAAACCATATAGATTAAAACTGGTTGCATGGTTGGGCTTGGAGGGTTTTGGTTAGTGGCTTGGACTCAGACTGTGACTGAAACTGCTGCATCACAGGGACCTATGCTGGGACCTGTGCTTTTTAACATCTTTATGAATGACCCATGAAGAGGTAATGGTGCATGCTCTCATCAGGTTTGCAGGTGACACCAAGCTGGGAGAGACTAGATGATAGGCTCAGTGGTAGAGCTGCCACCCAGAAGGAGCCAGGCAGGCTGGAGGAACAGACGAACAGGAACCTTTTGAAGTTCAACATGGGCAAATGCAAGTCCCTGCACCTGGGAAGGAAGAGCAAGATAGGACAGGCACTTCTGGGTTGGGGAGTAGCTTTGTGGAGCAGGCCGTGGGGCAGCGAGCTGGGCAGAAGCTGGCCATGGACCCTAGCAGCAAAGGCAGCCAACAGCTTCCAGGGCTCAGTGAACAGAAGCGCAGCTGTTGACTCAGGGGAAGGGGTCATCCCTCTCTGCTCACCACTTGCTAGATCACAGATAGACCCTACATTGTGGACCCTCAGTACAGGAAAGATAATAACCTGGTAGGACTTAAGCACAGGGCTGCAAAGATGCTCGGGAGCTGGAACACTTGCCCTGTAAAGAGATGCGAAGGGTCCAGGATTTGCGCAATTAGAGAAGAGGGGGCTTCAGGGGGACCCAGCAGCAGCCCCCAGTTCCTACAGGGAGGGCAACCAGAAGAGGGAGCCAAGCTCCTCACTGTGGTGCTTGGTGGAAGAACACAAGGCAACAGGCATAAGCTGAAGAAAGAAAGAATCAGACTGTGTATAAGGAATAAACTTTTCACAGTGTGAACAGCCAAGCATTGGACCAGGTTTTTCAGAGGGGTGGTGCTGTCTCCATACTTGGATGTTTTCAAGACCTGACTGGTTGAAGACTTGAGCCACCCTTGTCTGACTTCATCTCTGACCCTGCTTTGAGCAGAAAGTTGAACTGTAGACCTCCAGAGTTCCCTGTCAACCCAAATTATGCAAGAATTAGTGGAATTTTATCCATATTTAGTAGTCTGTAATGTAAATTTTCACAGGTTGCATGCATTTTATGCTTTTCTACATTTGAAACAACCATCAGGCATTGTCAGTGCATTTTATCTCTTTGCACAAGTTAAGGTCAGTATAGCATAATTACCATAATGATGTGCATGGCCTTAACATAGGTAGGAAGCTGTAACTCATTAAGTTAATCCAATATGGAAATGGTGCATACTTTCACAGAATGTGGATTACTTCATCTGATTGATTTTTATGTTTTCTACTATGGCTTCCTGTAGACTGCCAAGGCAAATGCTGTACTTCAAAGTGTTCAAAGACAAGGAACAATATTTTCCAAAAGATTTAAAATCTGGGACCTAGGAACTGTGTTTGACAAATTTATTCGGTGTAAGTAAAGCAGCTGCCTATGACAGTAAATTGGGAATTCTATACTGAGGACAGAAGTTCTTTAATAGCTTTTTAAATGAATGAACTTTTCTGAGAATGGAGAGTGACTGCAAATTTGACTACCTTTGGCTCACAGTATGAAATGTGTACTCCAGAATTTCCTCCCCAACTGGATGAGACAGTAAATAACTGTGTAGGAGGTTAAAAAAGAAAACCAACCCAGAAAACAAAAAAAAACCAAACCTTCTAAAGAATCCGCACACTTTTCTCCCCAGGGTAAGCATGAGTGAATAACAGAGTGTGTGAACCATGGTAGTTTCCTTACTGCATAATAAAAACATAGTCGTTAAGTGACTAACGAAAGATAAAAACTCAGGTTAGAACGATATTGAAAATATCTGTCGGTCTTTAATTATGTTTACATATTCACTTGTAGCCATAATATTTATTCTGCAAACACGCAGTCTGAAAAATGTTAAGCAAAACCATGTCAGCGTGTCAGGTGCAAAGGTGAAATCCACTGTGGAATCATGAGATAAAAAGGTGCAAGTGCTCTAACTTTTTATTTTAATTGTATTTCTGCTATCTGTTGCTCCTTTTTTATCACCTATGCTCTTTTTAGGACACATCTTAAGGTATTTTTTTTTCCATTCCTATTATTTATATCAGTGTTAGTATTTCTACATCATAAATACCGTAAATAACAATTTTGTGTAAACACAGTTTATATAGAATGAAGGAAGTACACAGAGCAATACACAGGTTTTACTTATTTTCTTTTACTCTGGTGTGGAACAGTAGCCCATAAACCTGCAACACTGACAATGGCACAGAATTATAGCAGGGATTCTAAATTGCTGTTCTTTTTACTTACCTGCTTTGAAGAGAGACACCTTAAGAAATTAATTAAACATGATATTGCACAACTCTAGCTGAAGCACTGAGACTAATTCAGTGCTTTGACCTAAAAAGGTGATTCACACCTATTCTTGGAACTATGTAAATCAGGAAGAAAAGAGTTAACTTACTTTGAGGGTAGGAATACTTCAGAATCAGTGAAGATAGCAAGGAATGATTGTAATGTGAACAACAAATTTTCCCAAGAGTATTTGCAAGATAGTTTCAAAATTCTTGACACAACCCTCCTAGGCTGTTTTAGTAATATTTTCCTCTATAACGTAACTTATGTGGCCTTTATAATTTTAAGATATAACTATCATTTTTTGGTGTATCTATCCTTGATTTTAACCTTTAGTGTAAAATCAATACATGCTTACTAAGAACAGGTAAAGTGAGCTGAAATATCATGGGTGTAATTCTCTTGCGTTCGTATTTTTAAATTCTAATTTTATTAGACACTAACAAAAATCAATGAAAATGACCGACCAAGATTGACTGACCAGCCAGCTAACCAAAGTGAGAAGTCTCTTTGCCACCACAAAACCTGAAAAGGAGAAAGCAGCAAATGTTTTCTGTAGAATTTAACCTGCTATTGGTATTGGTCCCATAGCTGCTCTTCCTTATTGCCCGCAGGGGCATGTGAAGGATAGGATCGTTCTCCACACTAGCATCGACCTCCTCAAGGACCAAATATATTCTGCTATGTAAATATTGCATCAGAAAACATGTTTTTTAAAAAAAAGGGGGAGGAGGGAGAGAGTGGAGGTGATCTGCTCGGTACAATTCCATTCCACCTGACAGATTGCAGAATTTACAAAGCAGCAATGGGAAATCAGGCTTTTATTAGGGAATGTAATGCTGGCTTGAAATATTTAAGGTCTTCAGGGGTGACAGAGAATCAGCTTATGAAACCCGAAATTATCTTCCATTTCGGTAGGATTTGCTTTACTCTCCTTTCTCTCCTTTTGCTAACATAGTCAGCAGACTTTTTTTTCCTAACCAAAAAGCAGACATCTCAAATAAATGCTGACAGTATGAATGCTGAAAAGGGCACCTCTGTTCCCTAAGTTTACACTGGAATCACGGAAGTGCAATGGAACACAAATGAAACATGAGAGCCGTTGTGATTAGGTTTTTTGGGGGTTGTTTGTGTTGGGTTTTTTCTTGTGAAAATATAATGTTCTGGGACTAAGGTTCCTATTACAAGAAGACAGGAGTGGGAGAAAAAAAATGGTTCGTGCAAATCCAGAGCCTTCATCCTCCTAATACACTGTTGTTGCAAATGACATTATATATCACCCATAGCTAGAGAAACAAAAAATGAAGAGAGATTCCGCAGTGGCATCACAGGATTCCACACCTCATTCAGGATATCTTCCTTCTGTATTTTCAGCTGCACTGTATGTAAATCTTTTAAAGGACTACTATTTCACTTGCATCATTTCTGCACCCTTTACAGATGGAACTAATGAAGTAGGATCACTTTTCAGAATAAAATAAAGCAGACTTCTTAGAACTGAGTGACCAAGAGTCTGGCGAGTGCTGTCAAGACACACAACAGAAGTATAGCACAGAAAACTCGCCTTTGTTCTTTCCACTTCCCTCTGCATGCCTCTTGAGTGCGCACAGGCAAGGAAGCAGGGGTATGCGTGGGTGAGATGATACTTTGAGTAAACTTTATTGATTCTTTGGGTGAAAAGAAGTTCCTGTGTCATTCCAAGATACAAGGCCACAAGTGACAATTCTGTTGATCACAGCTAGCATCTTTGAAGATGACCCTGATTTGGAAAAAAAATTGTGCATGTGTCCTTTATTATGTATTCTGAATAATAAGTTGTTCTTGCACTAGATCTAGAGTTTCTGAGACTGCAGAAACTGCATAGTTCATTGTTCTGTTGATTTTTTTAATTTAATATTTTCTCATATTTTAACTGAATTTCCTGTATGTTTTGTAGAGATATGCATGAAAACTTTGAATGGTGTTTGTGTTTTAATTACAGGTGCTGTTCTTATGTGGGTCGAAGGGGAAATGGTCCTCAGGCTATATCTATTGGCAAGAACTGTGATAAATTTGGTATAGTTGTCCATGAGTTGGGTCATGTGATAGGTTTTTGGCATGAACATACACGACCAGACCGTGATGACCATGTCACCATCATTAGAGAGAACATCCAGCCTGGTGAGATACTCTGATAAGTATTTTGGGGAAGAAAAAAAAATCTGTTTATTTTTGGTGTTTCTTTCATCCGCTCAACTCTCTGAAAACTGAACGCTGAACAGCAGAAATGAACTAAATAGCAGAAATGAGTGTTTATGCCTGCTATTCCTCTTAGCTAGACTGATCTCAAGCTGATTCACAAATGAAATACTGCAACTAAGATATGATCTTTTCTAAAGATCTGGCCAAGTAGCAAGCCATTAAATAGTATTGGCCAGAAGGAGAGAAATAGTAATCGTGCTCAAAAACTTTGAAGGAAGCAGTTGCTCTTAAAGCCCTTTAAAAGTCATGTTTCTGTGCTTGAGAAAGGGCTTTTCTTTCGTCGTTTACTGAATGATAAGTAGAAACATGTCAGAAGCTTTTTATCTGCCTGAGATGTTTAGAGCTGTAAGGGAAGCTGAGGACTTTGAATCTGTGACAAAGATGGGGAATGTTCTCATGGTTTCCAGGCTGCTGATTCCCTCCAGAGCCTGCAGCTTTCCCCAGTGGTCTTGGTGTTGTTGAGACAAAGTATCTGAGGAACCTGAGAACTTTAAACGGTAACTGTCATCTCTTTGTCAGACTAGCTGTTGTACCCTTGTGTCGTGTGGGCAAGACTGGAGGGAACTAGGCATGTTTCATTTGCAAAGTTCATAAATGCTCATGGTCTCTGTGAAACACTGATTTTGACTTATGGGGATCCTCTGCTCAAGGAGGGGTAACATCAGAAATTGTCCAATGACAGCTTGGAGTATTTGTCTGTTGCTATAGAAAATGTTTTAAAACAAAATAGAATTGAGATGCAATAAATCTTTGCCACCTCAAGTATGACTTAGAAGACGACTGGCAGCTGATACGTACTCTCACAAGTCTCTGAAGTCCTGAAAGGGTCCGTGCATCCAAGCCTTCCTTCTGTTGTCTGTATGTCGTTGAAGTGTAGATGCCACAAGTGCTCTTCTCCTATGCTTTCTCTGCGACGGGGCAAATCAGTTGAAGTGCCATCCTCAGCCTCCTGCTCTCTCCTTTCAGTTGTCTCTCTAATTTCTGGCTGAAACCATTTCTTGTGGTGTGGCATGAGCTTGAGGATCACTAAATGGGTCAGGAAGTCTTGACCACCAAGACATATGGGTTTTGTTATATTATGCAAATTATGTTGGTTAATAATGTTAATGCCACTGCAGGTTTCTTTACAAGACACCAATGGGAATATGAAATGGAGAAAGGGCTGCTTTGCATCTCTTAATACACTGATTAAGGCAAAGAATTTCTGGTCTGGAAAATGAATTAAATATAATTATTTTGTTCCTCTTCTGCTTTTATTAAGTTGCAACAGCTGACTCCAGAAAAAGTGACTTTGTAGTGTGTTTATTACATGGGGGCTTAGAGAGTAGCCTTTGCTGAAGCAAAATCTCTTTTAGTATCCAGTCTAATGAGTCTACAATGAGGAGGGTTCTTCCAGGGTCTTTGCTGTCAAAATGGTTTCTTTCTGGAATTAAGAACCTAGCCAGCAAATTTTGTGGATTCTACATGAAGCGCAACATAAAGTGTGGGGCCTTTATGTGGGTTAGGTGAATGAGAACAGTCTTTCTAAATGCCAAATACAGGAACTAGATGTGTGTTTCAGAAGACATATTTGCTCTCTGTGTTAAAAGCACACAGTTACTCCCAAATGGCTGATCTATGAATGTTAGTGAGTGACTAGGTGAGGATGTTTGGTTTTCTTTTCTTGTTTCTTTTTTATCTTCACAAAAAAAGATATTAAAGAAACTCTAATTATCAATCATTCGTAGGTCAGGAATACAACTTCTTGAAGATGGAGCCTGGAGAGGTGAACTCCCTTGGGGAACCATATGACTTTGACAGCATTATGCACTATGCCAGGAACACTTTCTCAAGGTTGGAGTCTCAGGTTATACCTTTTGACTTTTAATTCTATTCCTCTCTGTGAATGCTAAGAACTGTGCTTTTTTAAGTTTTCTGAAATCACTTAAAATATCCTTTGCGATATAGTATTCTTACAGCAGTCAAAGCACAGCTTGTTTATTTTAAGTCAGAATAATTTAATTACCTATTTAAACTCATTTTGGTTCTGTTCAGTTTCAAAGGAGCCTTTTGACCTTCCTTCAGTTCTTTAGATTTTAAGACAAGGTAGTCTGGAAACACCATTTCATATAATACTCACTTTGTTTTTGTCTCCACAAAAACTTGAATTTAGAAGAACCAAATGAGTGAAATGGTTAGGAATTTTATGTGTAACATGATCTGTTCTCTTAAAGAGAAATCTCCTTTGCATAATGTCCAACTATGGATTGTGCAGGCAGAAGACATGATGGTCTTAGGACACGCCTTTTATAACAAAGGCTTCAGCCTTTTTTCTATTGTTTGTACGGATTGTTACTGTCATCAGAACAGTACAATAAAGACTTGTGCTCGTTTTGCTCTGGCCTGTTGCAGGCTGATCCATTCGCAACTCCATAGTAGCTCATGTGGGGCTCACTCCAAAGCTCTGTGTTGTGGGGATCTGTACAATGAGCTGTTCCCCTAGGCTACTACTATAACTGCTACTAGTGCTCTGTAGAACAAGAGAAGCAGGAGGCTTTCACCTGGTGTCCTATTATATTTCATACCAAGTCACAGACTAGCTAATTGCTATCTAAACATACCAGAGTAATTTAAATTAAAAAAAAAAATTAAAACATCCAATAAAAATTGCTTGTTTGAAAAGTGATGTGGCAAAAATACTAGACAATCGGGGACTCTGAAATAAACAATACTGTATTCAACATACACATAATTGACCCTTGGAAGAGCTTGGGAATGAGCCACAAAGTAGATATTAGTCATATCGCTTAATCCAGTTACAGGTACATTACTTTAAGGAAGAGATTATAAGAACCTATATAAAATAGAGTAATTTAACAAGCCTGACCCTCCCCCCCTCCCCAAGTCCTAGGGCAATAACAACATCAAGATAATTTGATCTGTGGGCCCTGATCTCACCACTTTCCAAGCTGGCAAAAACTGATAGTGCCATGAGTAGGCATGCCCTGCCCCAAGGTACAAGAGGTTGTTACTTCATACTGTTTAAAAAAAACCCCAGCAAACCCATGAGGTCATGTGTTGGTTTGCATTGCTTTATCTTCAAAGCATGAGTTGTGCTCAGTGTAGAATATTGCCAGCTGTTTGTTGTTAGACTTTACTCACCCGGATAAGTAGTAGAATTCACAAAGTTCTAGTCACGCACAGTAATGATGTTCATGCTGTATTAAAACTTTTACGGGTGGTTCCTTTAATAAAGTTCTAAAGCTTATAAGAGAGGATTGTTTTCAAATTTTTCAAAATATAAATAGCATCAGTTTCAGCTTTTACTAAAAATCAGTGGAAAATAAAATTATAATCTATTGATACAAACATTTTTTGAAATACTAAAGTGTCTTATTTCTAAAAACTGAATAATGCCGTAAGTAGTGTATTTCACTGTTTAGATTAGGGTAACATCCGGAGATGATTATTTTTTTGCAAAATTTCTAGTGATGCCATAAGAAGTCTGACTGGGTAAAGAGAGCAGTATGTACCTGCAATACTCCTAACAGTTCATCCATTATAATTTAAAAACCAATCTGTATTTATAAACAGTATTCCTAACTATAAAGATCCTTACTGTTCATTCATTTTTGGACCTACATTATGCCTGAAAATACCGGTTTTACTCTTCAATAAAAGCCCTACAAGTGTAGAAGACAATATAAAAAGATTAAAGAACAAGAGAACACAGAGACATATTCATCTGTTAACTTCCATTTTATGGGGTTTCAGGGATTTTCAAATTCTGTAATGTGGTAATAGAACTTAGTTTTGTATCTTATTCTTTTAAAATTTATTTGAAACTACCAAAATATTTTGGAGCATATTTAAAATTTGGGAAATTTTGAATAAAACTGCACTTTTGGAACACATGTGCTGCTCTGTTACACGTAGTCATTCAGGGTAAATGTTACTGAAATCACATATGGTAAGTTCATCTATTTTATTGCAACACAAGCAGAGGCTGCCAAGTAAGCATTTATGTTTCAAAAGCAGCAGCGGCTAGAGAAGTTAGGTCTGTTACAACACTGGACAGAAGAATGGTTGGCAAGCGTGCCTGACATTACCTGCTCTTACATGCATAAATTAGACTTTAAGACTTCCCCTAAAACATTGTTAGAAATAGGAACTATGTGATTAATAATTGTGTGATAGGGCCTAATTTATCTGTTTTTATACAATTTTATAGTTAATTTTTTTCAATATAACAAGAACTTAACAGCAGTGCCTTTTTCCTGTGTAATTGGAATAGTAATAAGGGATTTACCTCCTGTTGTTTAACAGAAATACAAAAGCTGGTATGTTAATTGTTGTACTGAAAGAAGATTCTTTTTTGATAACTTTACATAAAGTTTGCCAACCTGAGGAATTTTTATGACATGCTTTCTGTATTTAAAGTTCTGCATTTTACCCTCTTATTTATGCCAAATGTAAATTCTAGATTCACAAAATAGCATTATACATTCATAACACTCAGACAGTTTTATCACAGAAACCTGATAGGGGTTTTTGGGGTCTATTTTTATTTTTATTTTTTTTAGGGGCATGTTTCTGGATACCATTCTCCCTTCCCGTGATGATAATGGTATACGACCTGCCATTGGCCAGCGTACTCGTCTAAGTAAAGGAGATATTGCACAGGCAAGAAAGCTGTATAGATGTCCAGGTATTGCACCACAAACAAACAAAACCCACATACTAGTAACTGTTTGACTTGTTGTTCAAGTGGAATGATACATTTTTTGAGTCAGCTGCTCACTGGTCTGCTTCCATGTTGGCAACTGACGTAGGCAGTTCAAGAACTGAATCAGAGAAAAACTTTATAGGTAAGGCCTCTGGAATGCAAAGTGCTAAAGGATAGATAAAGTGTATGAAACTACACTTAGTTTCATGACATTTCTGTTTTTGTTTTCCTTAGCTGTTCAATGACTAGGGAAAAAATGTTTAGTATCACTTCTGGTTTGCAGCTGGAGTCATTTTCATTTGAGTTCAAGTAGGGTGCAGAAGGAGCGCATTAAATTATTGCAAACGGCTCTGAACACATTGCATTTTTTGAAAATATGACAAATAAGCCATGATAACTGAGTTGTAAACTCTTTTACAGATGAATGGGTTAGGTCTTATTACAAACTTTATATAGTTGTAGCAGTTGCATTTAGCATTTAAATATCTTCTGTCTAATTCTAGCATCCTCTTATTTCAATGACTTTAATGTTTTATCTTGAAACAGTGTTGGGGTAGAGTTGCTGTCTCAGAGACATGAGTAGCAAGTCTGGAGTAACCTAGAGTCAACCCTGTGGTTGCTCCCTTGTGCTAGTTCTTCTCTAAGTGCTGCCGATCTCCAAGCAAAAGGTTTTACTTTGCTAGGTGTAGCTGAGACCAGTTTTAACCTTTGGTGTGAACCGAAGCAGTTCAGAAGTGCTGTCTCCCAGCCAGACTTTGCCAGCAAGGACCTTGTGGAAGACTAGACACACCAGCTCTGTGCCACATAGGTTTTACAGCCCTCATGCTCCTCATGGGAATTAATAAAGTATCAGTAAGTGTTTTAAGTCAAATATACGGCTACTTTTTACCACCTGATCGCTACAGAAGGACTAAAAGGAGAGAGCAGGGCTGAAGTGATGGAGCTGCTTCAGATTCGTATCAGCAGCAGTGGGACCTACTGAAGATCTGGGGCACCTAGTGTGCATGTGATGTACACTGTGGAGCTGAAATATGCTTTTCCTTTCTGCTGTAAGTACTTTGAATCATAATCTTCTATATAACGAGAACATGCACAGTGTTTCTGGGCCTAGCAGAGCAGAAACCACTTTAAAGTGTTTTCTTTAACAACTGTTCCTTTTGGAATAATTTTTGTTCTTTCCTTTTAGTACAGAAAATACTTGAATAACGGCATTCTTCTTGGCAGTGTTATTTCCAGTAAGAGTATGCAGAGAGCAACAATTTCATAAACACAGAGAATACATATATATTTTGATAAAAGACAAATTTTGGAGACAAAAATAATCTGTAGAATCAAAACCACTGTGCAAGTAGCTAGTATCTTATGATCACATTGAGGGAAGAAAGAAAGAAAAAAAAATTAAAAAATTTACAGCCTAGGCTATTTAGATAATACTCTAATAGGCACTTTCAGCCAACTGAAAATGTTGCAATGTGCTTTTTGAGCTGATGTTCAAACAGTTGTTCAGAGAAAATGTCCTTTTCATATAATTCATGAAAATGTGTGATGATGAGTTATCACTTCTTTCAATGTATTGAAAGTCTTGTCGAAAGTTAGTTTCACAGTGTTGTAAAACCATGGTTGTTCAACAGTGTGCACTGTAAAAGGAAGTTATTTTTTTACAGCACGAGTGAACACACTTCAGAAGGAAAATAAAAATGAGTTGTGGTTGCAGCACCATGCTCCTCTTCTGGCTCTTCACTTTGGCAAACTTTGGGATAAAAGACAATGGTTTTCTAGCCTTGCTTAGATGAGCCAGTCCATAAAAGAAAGTGAGTTTTGAGAGAGAGAAAAAGGCAGAAGGTTTTGCTACAAATTTTAAATAACATATTAATTAGTGTGGGCTTTTTTCAGTTGATATTTTGAATAGAAAGTGCATAACTGAATAATGCAACACAAACTTAAACATCCAATAAAGAAAGCAGCTCTCAAAGTTGCACGGTACTTGTGATCTAATAGATTTTTTCAGCAAATAGTGAGATTGAAAACTCAGATATTAAGCTTCTGATTTTATGAAAAGAATCGTGTGATCATCATAGTATATAGCAATAAAATCCTTGCCACGCTTGTTTTTGAAGGTGTGCTGTGTTTCCTATTTCAGACGAAAGATGTTAATCGTAGTGTTTGCTTATGATAAAACAGTAGTGGATATTTCAAACATTAATAACATCTGCATTGTTTTATGTGTTCATTTCTGTTGCCTTAAATGTAATACAATGAAAATACAGAAACCAGTAATTTAAATCAGTATTTTCCAGAGATACACACTTCTTTGATAAAGGATTTTGTGGTATTGTCTGTACAGTAACTTAAATAAATCAGTATTTTCCAGAGATACACACTTCTTTGATAAAGGATTTTGTGGTATTGTCTGTGCTTTGTTTGGTGTTCTAGTTATTCCTGCAAGCAGTTTCTGGTCCAAGAAGCCTGCTGCACTTTCTGGGGCCTGTGAACATGAAGCTGAGCTCAGGGCTGCTGGAGAATACAGCTGACCCTCACAGCAGTGAGGCAGCCGGGCCTCCTGGGTTGTTTTAGCTAGTCAGGGTATTTAGGGTCATTATTCAGGAAAGGGCTTAGTGACTAAGAAACAGTTTTGAGCTTGGTGAAGCCAAGGCATGAGATTTGATAAACTGTCTTTCATCAGCTGAGTAAGTGCCAGGATTCAACAACCTAGCAACAGCAATTTTGGTTTGTTTTTAACTTTTTCTTAGGATTTTTGACAAAGGAGAACATAATTGCTGATAGGGATCTGTTGCATTTTAATACTGGGTTACATTGTTATACGACAGAGTAATAAGGAGAAAGCAAGAAATGAAGTTGAGGGTCCTTCCTCTGCCAATCTTGTTTTGAACTTTGAGTGTCTTGGCATTTCAGAACAGAGCTTGAACTTCAAGGCTGGATATATTACAACAGTTTTCAGGCTGTGTGACAGAGTAATAGAATATGTATTCTTCTGGTGTAGCTACCAAAATTTCAGCATGGGTCTGCATTTATAGTTCTATATAGAATTTGTAGTTGATTTAAATTGATGGGAAATGATGGAGAAGGATATCTTGGGCAGAAAAAGAGAATGAGAAAGAAGTGGGTAGAGTGGGACTGAATAACAAATGTGAAAGGAGGCTCAGGCTGGCAGGAAGAGGCTGTTCAGAGGAAGAGAATTAAATGGAAGAAGTTCAGCAATTTACTAATTGCCAGGGTCCGTGGCTGTATGCGAGGAAGAGGGCAGGTGAAGGAAGCCTAGCCTGGCTCATTTTTGTGCTGTTCTCACTGTTCCTCAGGTTTAGCTTGCTCCCATCTCTATTAAATTAGAAAAGAGGGTTCACCTTCAAAAGTCAGCCTTTATTCACTACAGAAGGAGAATTAAAATTTTTATTATTAAGGGAAATCAAGTCAACAGTAAGACCCTGAGTTGTGGTAAACTGGTTAAGTTTTTGGCTTAACAAGTACATTATCAGCAAGAAATATTTTTAGAACTCGGTGGCAGCTATATATGCCATATATGTATAGGTGTACAGACTTGGGTCCAGGTAAAAAGTATTAAAGACCTTAACTATTTTCAGAAAATGGTAACTTTAAATTAGCCTCATATGACAGTATGTATTTGCTAGTGCTGTGGACAAAGGAATGAGAGTTGGTTCCCTAAGTGTCTTGAAGAATCTGGGCTTTGTCATTTGCAGATTTCGCTATAATCCTTAATGGAACTTGACCGTGTGCGTAGGCCAGCCCACAGAGGTGTTATACACAGGCTGTGTAATTAAACACTGCTGCAGAGCTCACTGGTAGAAATTGCTTTGTATAAGCATATAATCTGTCTGCACCCATTGCTAATCTTTACAAGGAGAAGCAAAAATAGCTTCCCTTTCCTTACCACATAAAAGGCTTATCGGAAGACTAACCTTCTCAAGCTGTAAAACAGACAGGAGATTGTTTTTTTGGTTAGAATGTGTGTGTGAGCTGAAGTGGTGTAGCCTAGTAAAATTCTTTTAAGGCATGGCATTTGAGAGTGGGGGGAAAAGCATCAGAGAAAACATTGGCGATGTTAATGATTAACAACGGAATAAAAATGTACAAATGCTTTATAAAGCAGAAGAGTAGAAGATTGAAGATGTAATTAATTTCTTCTGACGTGAAATATACTAAGATCAGTCATTAGGAAATCTAAATAAGTGGCCCTTACCACTCATTTTACTTCTACATTTCTTTCCCACAGTTGACTCCATTACTAATGGACAGTCACACAGTAAAATGTTTACAAGATACCATTTTATAAGCCTATTCACAAACATTGTAGTTACCACCGTCAAATTACAGAGAAAAACTTTACATGCTCTAGTGAAAGAATTTTAACTGTTTCAATTGCAGAACAATGTGCTTTTAAACAAGAAATCCCCAAATATCACCCTGTCTGCAGTGGCTCTGGAAGCCAGGCCTGGAACTCAGATCCCATAGATAACGAATTCAGATGTTGGTTGGTATACGCTATTCTTGTTATAGTTCCCTTGAGTAACCAGGAATTTTAAATTAAATTATAAATATGGTGAAAAACGTAAAGCCTAAACATATTTTATAAATTCTAATTGTGTTATTTCTTAGTAGAATTTATCCAAATACAATTTTTCTTATGCTTCCCTTAAATTCAGAATTATTTATGAAGATTTTGATTTGATAGAGAGCTCCCAAGTATTTAATATGAATATAAGTGAAATTTTTGCATTAAACAGATTTATTCTATAATTCCCAGAAAAAGAAATTGTTCCGTGACACTTTTTGCAACTTAAAATCCATAGTTTTACAGCTATATACAACTTCTGTTTAGGGAGCATGGAATGTTATTAGTATTCTGGAGAAAATAATCCTGTACTCTGTACAGGAGAGAAAAATTCTGACATGTTCTCAAAAATGTAAAGCTACTATGCTTAATTCATTGATGTGTTAGTTTACTTTTATAACAGGCTAATTTAGGGATTTTAATAGAGGAAGGGGTAGTCACGGTCAGGGTCTTCCTCCTCTCCTCTTACTAATTGCATGGCTGCCTTTGAACCAACCTCTCATATGTCCCACTTACTTGATACCATTTAGTTTGCTGACATGCTTTAAGTTATGTGGATATCTGCATTGCACGACTTCATGACCAGTACTTGTGAGTCAAAGTTACAGTTAGTTGAAAAAATGCAATGTGAGCAGAAAAGACTGGCCAAACAGCATTCCCCATCTCTCATCCTGTCATTTGCTGAAGGCTTGCTTCGTAACTGTGGTGCTGGTGAAATAGTTACAGCTAAACCAAAGAGAAAATGTACTTCAAATACGGTTGTACGCCTCGTGAGAGTACACTGATGCAGTGTAGTCTCGATGAAGCTGTGCATGAGGAGAAGAACGAGGGCTCTAAAAGCAGTGAGAAGAATCCTTGGATCCTCGTGGATCTCCCAAGTAGTGCGTGCATCTGCTGTGCAGGGTATCTCCTCTTTGGGCTCTGCTTTCCTCTGCTCTTGTACAAGACTATGAATTTACTCTTGGTCTTCTCTGAAGTGCTTTACATATGCGTTACAAGCTATGATACAGTTCGCTAGCTCTTGGGGAACCCAGTGCAGTACTCTGCAATTTATTTAAGTTTGCATTCATTGCTGTGTTAAAAATAAATTGTGGTTAATTATGGATATGGCCTTTTCACTGAAAAGGCTTTGTACAGAAATAATTATTTAGCACTGAATACCTTTAGTGTATGTGTCATTTGCTGTGGCTGCCTGCAGTTTTTTAAAGATGAAATCACATTTTTTAAGTGAGGGGAGGAAAGTAATTTTTTTTTTCCTCTTTCATTCCTAAAGGACATGGTGATGGTGACTTTAACCATGAAATTTTTTGAGCCTTCCACCAATCTTTCTTTTCTCTCCTCATCACGAGAAGCATTTCAGTGTCAGAGAGCGTATTTAATGCCTTAAATGTAGCTTATGTATGATATTACAGTGTAGTTGTCAGATTACGTCTTGGACGCATTTTAAAAAGACAGCCTTCACAGCTGTGTTGTCTGTCTTTGTCATAAACAACCTCTTCCTTTGTCCCCTTTTATTTAAAGATTTTCCAGATCATTTATAATTCATTGAGATTTTGATGGTACAGTGGTTCACCTGCTGGCAGTGGTAGCGCTGTAATTTGAAAGCGCTGCAGGTCTGATTACACTGTCAGTCATGGGATAATATTCTCAAATTCACATCCCTCGTATCACACCTGGAAATTTGGTGGGTGAAACAACTTGATTAAGGTCAAAAAAGATGATTGATTGAGGTATGACGCCCTACCAGAATGAGTTTTAGTGGTGGAGAATGGCAGCAGCTTCCAATGCTGTATTTTTGTATGAAGAGGAATTATTAACCAGTCTGCCAGCAGCTAGTAGCATGATTGACAGGTGAGATATGGGTGCTAAAAGCTTCAATAATAAAGAATATAAAAGCCTTTGGTATTTTTGGACTTTACAGTTGCTTTGCTTTATTACTCTTATCTCTAAAAATCACTGTTGCAAGAGATTTTGTTGAATATAGGATTTAGTTTTCTATACAACATAAATGAGTGACTTTAGGTCAGATCAGTCTCTCATGTGGGCAAAGTACTAAATTAAATGAAACCACTGACAAAGTTCCAGTGTGGTGCTGATCACACTGTGCCAGATTTTGTTCTACTCTTCTTTTAATTCTTAAAAGATGTGTCTAAGGGTGTGGCTAACAATTTTTTCGTGAAAGTAAAGTTATATGTATAATTTTGCAGTTGGTTGACAGCAATGACATTTTTAAGACTGGTGTAATTTTAGTTATGTCAGCAGACAGCACACAAGTGAAATAGTTCCTGGAATAAAAACATCCTGTGTAAAATTGAATGAATGTCAGACTGGCTTAAAATAATTGTTCTGAATAAATCATAAAATAACTAGTCTGTTTTCCATTCTGCATCTGCAGTGAGTTAAATGTATTCTGAGTAGATATTGGAGAGATACATTTTTCTCTGTTAGGCACATTCAATTTTATATTTTTACTGTATTTTGTTTCTTTCAGCCTGTGGAGACACACTGCAGGAATCTACAGGCAACTTTTCTTCTCCAGGATTTCCAAATGGTTATCCTTCCTACACACACTGCATATGGAGAATCTCAGTGACCCCAGGGGAGAAGGTATTTTAACATTGGCTCAGCTAACTAGGTGCTATTTTTTAAAATGTTGTGTTTCTTTAGCTTTTCATTTAAGTTTAAAGTTTTCATAATACTCGAAAACAAAGATAGGCAATGAAAAATGGGACAATGAAGTATGTGCTATTGACTTGACTTTGTCTGTGGCATTAGAGCTACATCATCTCTTTGGTGGCTGTCCATGTGAAATGAGGCACAATTTCAATCCACTACGTGTTTGCATCATGAAATCCCTTCAAAACTGGCTTCCAATTCAGTTGGTAGTTTGGTGTAAAGGTGGAAGATGTGGTGCAGGCTCCTGGATGGTCTCTCCTCCAGCATGGGCTCAGGCAAGCTGACTGAGCTGTGTGGGGCTGATAGCTGGGCTCTGCCTAACGAAGCTGTTAGTACGCAGGATGAGATGTATTTTCTGAAGTGAAACAGTAATAAAATGGGCTAAGGAAAGTGTTATTTGAAGTGTTCCCTGGTATCATTCTAGAGCATATACTTTTACTTTCTGGGCATCAATTTTATGGGAAAAAGTGGGAAAAAATATTGGCTCGGTGAGAGCAATTCAGGGAGAGCAGTATGCCATCCTAGTGAAAGCAAAACCTGTTCTTCTTGTGTACACTTTCAAAACCTGCTAGCTGAATCTTGTTTCAAGTTATTGGCTCACATATTAGCCTGCCTCTAAATAAATAAGGATAGAGGGTGCAATGGAAGTTTCAACTGAGACAAAATATGCAGGAACAAAAAAAATGATATAAGTTTCTTTACGAGACGTGGTGGGTGATTTTAAGCAAATACAGCCTAAAGACTGAAATATAGAACCTAGCACCAGCCTCAGTACTGGAGAGCCCAAAGAGGAAAACCCAGCATTTACCCCTAGATATTTCAGTCATTTTTGTCAGTGGTCTCCCATTCCCTAATGGATATAGTTTTCTCCCAATTGGATTACTTTATTCTGTGTTTCTTTCAGGTCGGGGTCCTGGTAGACACCAAGAATATATGTTCTTGATGTGCTAATAAATCTTGAGGAGCTGTAAGAACGTTTGCCACTGTGGGGGATGAAAGCAAAGTCTTTTAGAAAGCGTTCTCCCTCCTCTGGGCAAGAGCCAGAGGCAGGAGGAAAAATAAACACACTCTGTGCTCCGAGGGCGTGGGCGGCTCTGCAGGTTGGCAGGGAAAAACAAATGAAAACAGATGAATAAGAGAAGGTTTGCGCAAAAGATGCCAATTAATCTAGATAGGTAATTTTATGTCCCCACTATTTGTGTTGCCTCTTAGACACTACTGTGAAAGCAACAAAAATGGCTTAGATTTCTATTCCTCAGTTAAAAAAAATTTTAAAAATGAAGTGTTCATCTACAATTATTATTGGCTTTTGAAAACAATATAGAAGTTGGGAAGTGGTCATGCTGAAGTATTCATAGCATACTCCAACTGTGTGTAAGCCTATATGTGGAAGTTAGAGTAATTGTAATATATTTTTAATACCATTATGTGTTGAGATTGTAACCACCACTGGAGCTGTATTATACTGTAGAAATGCTTAAGGGGGGAAAGCCCCGTCCTAAAGTCAGCAATGTAAGAGGACCAACTCCTCTTCCATCTTATCCCCGCCCTAAATGGGGAAAAAGACTGAACAGAATTTCCAGTTGAAATTTGATATGACAAGTCGTGTCTGCAGGGCACTGTTCTGACCTCCAGCTCTAACAGTCTCCATGTAGTTCAGCAAGAATGAAATAAATAATATTTTTGCTAATGTCAAAAAGTCATTTCTGTCAATGCTGTTCCCATAGGATATTGTCTGTCTTGAGATAAAGGACCCTATCTGGAGCAAATACTTGATGTGAATAACAGATAGCAGAAATGAGGTCTAAATCTTAACTAATGCATAGGTCACAGTACCTTGGATACACATTATGCTTGATTCCAAATTTTCTCAGTAAACGACAATGATGACATATTCATGTTATGAAGGGAAAATCAAAATATATTTAAGTTTTTGTCCCTTTGCTGCTTTGACCCTGATAGATCTCAGCAACGTTGTGTGGAGGTTAGAGTACATACGAGTACATCACATCATGTTCTGAAACGTTAGTGAGCACTTCAGTCTCCTAAAAATAAACTGAAAAAGTAGATTGTCTAGCTCTTGTCTCTTATTTATTCAGAATTAACATTGTGCTGTTTGAGCATAGTTTAGAGGACTTCTCTCCTGCTGCTTTCTGCGAGTACAGACACTTCTGATCTGTGGTGGTAGGAAATTCAATGAAGGACGGGACTGCAGTGGTATGTGCTGCCTGCAGCATACCTTGTATTGATAGGCATCATGACTTGCCAGCCTAACCTAAAATGTGTGCATCCCTATTACTAAAACAAAGCAATTCATTCACCTTTACTTTCTCTCAAGCTTGAAGTCTATATTGTAAGCAGCTGTACACAGTGTATGATACACAAAGAAATCTCTGGGGGAGGATGGTGTTGGTAATAGTGCATGCCCTTCGCCAGGGTGCATCCCTCATTCTGATGTGTAGAAATCTGTTGATGTAGGGAGTTGCAGCCATGCCAGTGGTTATTTTTTTTTTTTAATCCACCTTTTTGAACAAGTGACATTACTTTCCAATTTTGCTTAGTGTTTTACATGAATGATGAAATAGGACAGATAAGTCCTTGGTTGATATGGGAAAAAAAGCTACCTGCAGAAACCTTCATTAGTACTACCTGGAGTTTGCTATATATTTTGTGTTCTCTTATCCTAGGCTATAGGAGGTATGATATGTTCTCTCTGAAGCTGCAGTAGCACAATTGAATCTGCTGTGTAATCGATAATTCCTTAATTGTGCTGACAAATGTGGATTGATTGTTTTGCCTGTGAAGACTTGCCATCCTGACCCCCTGAGCAAGCTCTGCCTTATCTGTAGCTCTACTTAATACTTTGCAGAACTGCAAATCAGAATCTTAAATGTATTTATTCTTGTTTAGTTCCTGGCCAGAAATCATGCTGTGACAGACTGGGGGTTCTGCCTATGTAGAGCTAATGAATTCTGGTCGATGTTAAGGAATTGCTGTATCATCAAATACCTTGGCATGTCAGAGTGAGAAACTGCTGTGAAGATTATTTCATATAGTTTCAAAGGCAGGGACCATTGAGGAGGCTCATTATATTTTAATAGTTTACATTTAGAAAGCAGCACTTTGAGACAATGACATGATCACACCCAAGTAAAGCTGTTCTTTTCCCAACTCTATCCTGGCAACCAAGGTATGGAAAAAGGCAAATTTCTGAAAAGAAAACAGAGAAATGTGATGTTTCAGCTGTGTCATTGAAAATGGAAAACTTGTGGCTAGGCTGTTGAGAGACCTCCAGGCTCTACATAGCTGAGCCGATGGAGGAGGTGAAGGATGTGGCTTCTGTAACTTGTTTCCAATAGAGCCAGCTGGGTTAGCTAATCAGCTGTGGAAGATAGCCTGACCTTAACCCAGCTGTCTGCATCTCACCTGGATAAGAGAAGAAGGCTTGCCCTTGTGAAGCCCTCTGCCTCCACAGCTGGGATGGAGTGGGCATGGATGGAAAATAACAAAGAGACTGTTGAAGGCAGCAGGGTTTTCAAATAATATGGCTAGGTGCAAATGGAGATACCTACCTACCGTTTGAGAAACTCCAGGAGAAAAAAAAAAAGGTAGGCGTTTAGAAGGAATCTGAGCTGCAACACTGATGAAGCTGAGGAGAAGAACAAAAATTTTGCAGTTAGTGAGGCCTCTGTATTTGAAATATGGGTTGAAGAAAAAACAGTCTGCAAAGAACAGACAAACTTGCTGTGTGAATAACAGAAGAATATAAAGAACCTCTCTGTCATTCTCAGAGGTAGATTCAAACAGCATTGGAAATTTAAGGAAAAAAAACAAAGCAGAGGAAAGCATATGAATGATTGTCCTTTTTCCAAATCTGCAGGTTTCTCATGCAGACGAACGTGATGAGTAGTGGGGGTTTGGGATCCTGATAGTATTTGTGCATTTATTTCTTTGGTATATGTCCCTGAAGGAGTGCCGTAATTGTAAAGGCAAAATACACTGTGGGTTAGACAACTGGGAGAAGGTGCGCATAAGGTAGGAGAAGTTTGAGGGGTGTAGCAGTAAGTAAAAGCAGAGGTGAGCTGCGAGTTGTGAGTTTCCATTCCGGGAAGGAATGGCATGGGAAGCCTGTATCCGGAGAGGAAGACAGGGATGAAACAAGAGGTGCTGCAGTTAAACAAAAAGAAGCATGAGAGCATGTGGGTGGATACAACCACAGTAACCCGGGGAATGCCAGCTCAGAGGATCAACTAACGCTTTGATGCATGCCATTTTTTTAGGTAAAGAGTGAAATAATCTGAAAACTGAATAGTAGGGCATTGAAGGATTTCTGTCACTTTTCTCAGTAACACTGGGAAGAAAATATTCTTCCGACTTGGAAAAATAAATTAAAAAAACAATTCTCCACAAGGCCCTGGTGAAAAACTGGCAAGGGAAAAATGAGAGCCGTACAAAGAGAGATGCAGCTCAGAAGTTGGACTTCAGATAGAGGTTGTTAGGTAGAAATGCAGATTACAGTGCTTGTTCTGTTGACAGCGTGCCCAAAGTGTATGCTGTGGTTATCCGAATCATTCGAGTTGTCCTCCTGCTGTAGAAATTTGTTCTTCTTAACCTGATGAGCCATACCTGAAATGGGAAAGGAGTCTTAAAGTTTAGCTCACAGAACATACAGAGGTAGAGGAGATCTAGAATGAAATCTAGAGTGTCTCAAATGTGGAAGTTCAAATCCTTGGAGTTCAAAAATGGACTGTCTGGATGATTTCCTTACTGGCTTTCACAAAAAAAACCCACACAAAAGACACAAGGAACACTCCCTCCATCCCTCCATCATGTGTCCTGTCCCCACCCCCCAAATTCCCTACCTACTCTAGCTTTAAAAACACTGATTTGATGTATTTCCTATACAAAAACTCTTAATTGTTCTTGTTCACTGAATGATTAAATGGATAAGCATTTAATTATCTTTTTAAATTCCATGCTTATGAACGCATCTGCTATCTGCATAATACAAGATATTATTATTTGAAAGTTTTTCATTAGGACTTACTTTGCTTTGTTGTTCAAAATTCAGGGAAAAAGTATCTACACTGAAAAATAGTTCAAGATATTAGAATATTATTATAACAACCTTTTCAGTATAAGGAACATGTTTTCCTTAAATATGTTAATTTCTACTGTAATTTGTATTGCAATAAAGAGAAGGGATTGCACAGCAACTGTGTGTGATTTCAGATTAGTCCATTTTTGTCTCTGAGCTCAGGAAGGAAGCCTACAATATAATTTGATGACTATTCATTGTTGTAGGTCTTTATGATTTAGAGTGCCAATGGCAGCCTGGACTTGAGTTGGTATTATCTAAATACATTTCTAAAGTATCAGACTAACATTGAAGCAGACATTCTTTGCATATAGATCTGAGACTAAATTATTGCCTCCCTTGCTGGCCCTGAAGTGACAGAGGGAAGGGGCCAAAAAATAGAGAGGTCAGATTGTATTTGTTGCATCTGCTACAGTAAAAACATTTCAAAGCTACTTGCAGCATGTTCCCACGGAGAACACAGTGCTAGAGACAGCCTGCTGTTTAACCAACCCTTCTGCAGGTTTTGTGGATGTGGTAACAGCTTGTGGGTATAAATGTTTGGCCGTGCTCAAGCATCAGAACAGGTATCCTTTTATTCAGTGCTGTCCTGATGGTCCTTGGCGTGCTTCATGTCCCATACCTTCATCCCGCAAGGCGGTGGCTGCCAGCATAATGTGCCTTACTGTACAGGACTTCTGGCTGTTAGGTTTTATGTGTAGCCTTACAGATGTTTTCTATTTCCCGTGGCACCACGGTGGTAAAGGTGAAAGCTGAATAGAATCACCCGTGAGCTTGGTCTTGCACCCAAACAGTCAGCAGTTTGTCAGCACTAGGTGATAGGGGAAGATGTGACTTTTAACATGAAGTCATAAAGTTACCCAGTCTCCATGGAAAACAAAAGAGATTTCTGAGAATGTGATTGCTCATATGGGTGTACTTATTCATTTTTCATGAAAAGTAAGTGAAAGCAAAGCCCCTTCTAGCCTAATGTTAAGTAGTGTTTTGCGGTGCAAGACTGTCTCCATTTTGCATTGTTTGGAGAAGAGCATTACTGTCATGCTCTACTGTCTGACCTATGCACCCGAACCACTGAGCTCTGTGTTATCTTTAAATTATCTTCCTCCAATAGCTAACAGTTTTTATCTCCTTAAAAATTAAACAGTCTGAAAAAGTTCTGCCTTTCTGGTTTACTGTTGTACTACGTTGCCTTTGGAGACACGCATGTTGCATTCAGAAGAGATGGAAGTAAACTGTCCCGTCTGGCTATCTGGGCCCATTGCTGCAAGTTACGGTGTTGTGTTTCCTCCTTGCAGCTGGACCGAGGGTAAAATCTGCTCCTTTCATCTGGTGCTCGCAGCTGCTTCATAGCCTGTCATGGAGATATGTTTTTGCAGTGTGAGGTATTTGCTACTGTGCAGCAATTCACGTTTGCTTTATAACAGCAGGTTTCAGTTGTGAGTCCCTAGGATCAAAGCTAAAAATAAAACCACTTCTATGCTCGTATGTGAGTAAAGAAGATTTTTAGGGGTTCTATAATACAAAATATGAATGATTGTAAATCTTCTTTTTTGGACTTATCCCTCAAATTGCAGGACATGACGCTAAGACTGTCCCAGTCAGTCAGGGACCAGACTGTAGCTATCATGTCATCCTGTGATCCAGGATGAATCTTACTGCTGTGTTAAAAGTATAAGTTTTGGCAGTTTAGTATTTCTAATCCAAATTTGGGTAAAGTAATGGTCTAGGGTAGTCCTGATATTAATTATTGAAAACATACCTATTTACAGAAGTGCTCAGTAAAGTTGGGAATCCAAGTTCAGAAGTTCCAGAGATGCACAGAACTCAGATTTGTATATAAAAAGCTTTGTTACAGTTTCATTAAGAGTCATTAAGGCCTGTGTACCATTTGTTTTAGGGGTATTGCTTTTAGCATTACTGTCCACCAATAGTCAATATTTAGCTTGTCTGGAAGTTAATCATCCTGTCAAAACAGCAGTAGAAGGAAACAAACCAAAATAAAAAAACCCAAATTTTTTTTCAGCTGTCAGTGCTGATTATAGTCAGAACGGAAGAGGAATTGGTAGGAGAATTATCAAATGGCATACTTAAAATTACATTAGCACATTATTTTACCTTATTAGCATTCTCAAATTTCTATTTCTCAGTGAAAATCTCCTTGTAAGCAATTAAATGTGAATAGTCTGTCTTGAATCTGATCAAATATGTAAGATTAAACAATGTTCCCAAACATCTTTTACTTACTACAAGAAATAATTAAGGAGAGGTTAATGAAGTGCACCAGTAATTGTCATGCTGTTACTGGTGACCACTCTGGCTTCAGTTCTGCCCAAAGTTGTTGTGACAATTTTCTAGTATTAACCACACATGATGTAATTAGGTGTTCCTCTCTGATTACAGATTGTTTTAAACTTCACCACCATGGACCTTTACAAGAGCAGTCTCTGTTGGTACGACTATATTGAAGTAAGAGATGGCTACTGGAGAAAATCGCCTCTGCTTGGTATGCAGCACTTGAATGCTGTGCTGTCCATAGGTGCCACACTCATTCAGTTCAGTGGGCTTGATTGTTGTTGCACACACAACAAACCTCTCACTTTTTAGATGTCTAGAATGTATTTAAGCTTGGGGATGGGAAAAAAACACTAAATGGCCTCAAATAAGTAGTTTATTTGACTTCAGGCCTTCTTTTCATTGCAGCTAGTTGTTATTCAGCTTCGTGTGGGAAGTTATAGAGAAATCTGTAGGGAGTGTGATGGGAAATCCCTAGATTACATGATGAGCACACGCACTGTGGTTGAGAGCACCCACTGTAGAGTTGCACTGATCAGCTCTGTTCCTGTGCTTGTTGATTTATGAATAGAAAATTGCATCTATTTCTTTTTTACTTGTCCTTCCCTGCTCTTGCAGGGAAAAGACATGCAAAGCAATAAAGAATTCTTAGAGTTGCAACTTCTGTGCAGGAAGCTGCAGCCATCCTTTGCTTAATTCCAGGGGTTGGTGGGGAGATTTCACACCCTGTAATGCCACTCTCCAATCCAGAGGCTGGGTTTGACATCCCATGATCTTCTCTGATTGAAACGGGGATTTCATACCATAGGAAACACGAACGTCTCCAACTTCTTGGGTCAGTTTTGTTGTTGTTTTTAGAATGAAGACTAAAACTATTTGTTAGCATCCTCACAGCCACAATTTAAAAGCAGTAAAAAAAGGCAGAAAAGGAAACAGATACAGAGGCAGCTTTTTAACAGTAGTGCCTATTTTCTTGGTCTTAAAAATAAACGAAGAAACAATGAAGACCAGATGGAAATTACCCTTTTCTCTTGTACCCTTCTCTAGCACCTAGACAAACAGAAATTTTACCTACCTAGGCTGAATTTAAGAGGATAATATAGCCTAGGCTCATTTGGATGTTAGTTTTTAAATCTCTCTGGTCCTTAGACACAGTGAGTGGTATTACTGTGACCTACATTACATTCCTCTTTTAAGGTTAGTACTCACTTTCGCCTTCCAAAATACCTGGGGTTGTATGTATAGAAACAATCTTAAACAATAGATTTTCTACTTAATTGCCCTAAGTTTCGTATCTAGACTAGTGAGCCTGACTGCAATGAAAAGAAGTACTGAAAGCTTTAGAACAAAATCTTTGTGTATTAGGTCCTGATCTGCAGAAACACATGTTCTTAACCATAAGCAAGTGAATAGTTCCACTGAGTTGGTTATGCCCCTCCTGTTTATAATGTTCAACACTTGTATAAATGTTTGCAGCTTTTGGCTTCAGAAGTGGCAGAAAATGCAGTTACTGGTTGCATGTTTTTAGGCAGGTTTTGTGGTGACAAACTGCCAGAAGTCCTTGCATCTTCCGACAGCAGGATGTGGATCGAGTTCCGCAGCAGCAGCAACTGGGTTGGGAAAGGTTTTGCAGCAATTTATGAAGGTAAGCCTCTTACAGCTTAGAAATTACTTGATTATGGAGGAAATGTATTAACCGGATACCTTTGGATATTTAAAAAAAAAAAGTCAGAAATAACCAAATATGATATCATTATTTTATTACTAAGAGAGAGAGTAGGTGTAAACTTACTGGACAGGACATTTTGAAACTCTTCCTGTGATTAGATTTCAGATGACCTCTTTTCTAGGGACACCACTAATAATATTCATAAGCATTTGTTACCAGTCTCTTAATTAACTGAATGTGCATGTTCTTGTGCTCGGTGTGTGAAACGATTTCTTTGAGTACTTTCTGTTTACTCTTCAGTAAAATCTGACTCAAGTTTTCCATATGCTCTGGGATTACTTAATAGAGACACTCCCTCACACTGAGTGTATTAGCAAGTCAAGATTCACCTGTTTAAAATAGATCCTATTTAATTAAATATTGAATCCATGGTAGTAAACTGTATGAATTAGTTGATATTGACAAATATTTACATGATTATCAGTATGGACCTTGAAAAGTGCATTTACTTTTCAAGAAAATATTGTTTATTTCTATTAACTGTTTCTTCAAATTCAGTGTAAGCTTGAAGTGATAAACTGTAGGTTGAAATGTATAAATCATTACAAAATATGAGATTTCTGTCTCATTTGTCTCTTTTTAAAGGTTAGTAAATATCAATGAAGAATGTTTATTAAATATATTTCAAAGGTAAACAAAAAGTAAAATCTAATTATTTTGACCTTTTAAATATATTCTGTAAAACATATAGATTCAGATTATCCGTGATTCCAAAGTCTTCCTGAACATTGTAGACATATTTAGAGCTATTAGAAATCCTGAATTGTATTCGCTAACTGAAATATGCATAGTGGTTTAAATGGATTGTGTTTTCAAGAATTTGTCCTTGGTAGACTTTTTAAGTCTTCTCCAGAATAATCTTCTCATTAGCTTTAAAAAGTGGAGCATAAAATGTCAGTCTGGGCATGGGGAACAGAAAATGTCATTACTGACAATAAGAATTTTATGCTTTTATCAGCTATCTGTGGAGGTGAAATCCACAAAAATGAAGGCCAGATCCAGTCTCCCAATTATCCTGATGACTACAGACCAATGAAGGAATGTGTGTGGAGGATAACAGTGTCAGAAAACTACAATGTGGGATTAACCTTTCAAGCATTTGAGGTAAAGTCTTATAACTGATCGCAGCGAAATGTCCAGTGGATAAGTGACATTTAAGGGAATCCTCATTAAAACTGTGAATGAATTTAAGAATTCTCTATGAAAAATAAGCTCCAGAATCTATTTCTACTCGCCATGAAACCTTCCTTTCTGTAGAACTTTTCAAGGTTAAAGGTTTTTCATGTTTTCTATGCTGTTTGAATTGGAATGTTTAAAGCACTGACAATAGTTGCAGTTTAGCAAACACATAATCCAAGTCAGCAAGGCTGCTTTAATATTCTGTTAAATAATAGGGATTTTTTTATCTTTGCTAAATCTTATTGTTAAAAAGGAATGTCTATCTGGAAAGAAACCACTGTGATTTTTGGCTTCTGTTTTGAGAAGAAAAAGCCTACTTAAAATCAGTTTACAAACCTATATTTAGAGAGGGAAGAAAAAAGCCATGGTGAGTCATGCGTGTCTTTAGTGTACATATCTCTGTGTGTAACATTGCTAAACAGTGGTAAACTCTTGTATAACAAAGAAAAGGAATATTTCATATGTCATTTTTATGCGTATGTGATACATTTACTTGACGTTTATAGATAAATTTAGTAACATACTTTGAGTTCACCTGTTTTATTTTAATATGCTTCAGCAGTAATGACATGAAGAACAGTCCTTTTTTAAATCTAAACTTTTTGGCTTTATGGTGCACATAGATATAAACACAGGTATCGTAAATTTAGACATAATTTCCAACCTGTAATTTTAGTCTTACAGACAGACTTCAGGGGTATGGCACATTTTTGCTATGACTGATGAAAAGTCTGAGCATGAGATAGCAAGGGTTTGGGACTTTATCAGCAATTATGAATATAAACAAGGGAAATGTTAGTAATTTCACAAATTCTACTTAATTTTCCTTTTTTCATATCCTGAATTCACGTTGGGTCTATGCAGACAAGATCAGGTCTCCTTGCCTGAAGGGTTTTGCAGACGCCATTCTGCATGGCCTGGATCAAGATTATTTAACATAGTATGTCAGTCTGCTCTTGGTGCTCAGTATATTTTGGTGTGGTCCCAAGAGAAATGACACTATGCTTCTGCATAGAAAAATTGCCGCAGTATTTGATCTCCATGCAGATGCTCAGCGTGGGTCTGCATGTACAGTACATTATCGCTTGAACTGACCCCAGTTCAGTATCACCTCTGGCAGCATCAAACTTCCATCTGGCAGGACCTTTGTCTAATCAGCAAATTATGGACTATTTGCAAGTGTGAAGACAGCATGTTCATGCTTACCATATAGAAAATAATTAGAAGCAGAAGACCAGCAAATGGAGCACAATTTAGTAGGCTAGTGGTTACGACTGGAAAAGGAAGTGTCCAGTTTTTCCCCCAGACTATTTGGTATTATGGCACTCTCTAGAGGTGAAACGTGGACTGACGCCTCCCAAGCAGGAAGGGAATTGAGCAGAGTATAGTTAAGTGGTAGTCTCAGATTGGTGCCTCTGCTAGATGTGTTTTGAAAGACAAAAAAAAAAAAATAAATCCAGCAGTAGGGACTTGAAAGGTACATACTTTTCCAGGGAGAGTCTGAGCTGTGATTCCAGAGTGGCAAGATGCCCTTGAGCACCAATTGAGGTGCCCCAGAAAGGCACAAGACTTCTGTTACATCTGTCCTCGCGGCATTTCTTACTGGCTCGTCCACAGGGCTCCCCGCTGAGAGTGAGAGTTGCTTTGGAAACTGCTCTGAAGTGCCTTGCTTAAGACATTCACCATTGGGTCTGATTTCCGTTTTGGGTCCAAGCGCCTAAACGTAGGTGTTCTGGTTTTTTGGTACTTAGTCCCTCTCTGGACTGAATCCTTGGTGCACTGCCCAGTAAAACAAAAAGTTGTTTAAAAATCACAGTTCTTCATGCCAGCTGAGATCAAAAAAAGTAAATGTCAGGCCAAAGAGTTATTGCAGCGTGTTTGTGAGAAAATTACTTCTCTGTCCTTTGAAAGGTACAGTTAAGTAAGAGGAATTCTCATTATCCGTATGTAATGTTAGAAAAAATTACTGTATAAATAACCTTCACTCCAAAATGAAAGCACTAGGGAAGCTGGGAATTTCAAACTGTATCAATGAGTCATCTTGTTTTGCCTGCTGTGGGCAACGCATTTTCCACTGAGTGTGGGATTACCCTTGCTTATTTGGCGGCCTGTACTTTCCAGTATCTAGATGAGAGCAGAGATGTTGGGACTGATAACTCCCATCTTTTTGCTTCACTGTTAGTCACCTTTATTATATTCTTCTTTGAAAATTAGCTGTGCTTCTATTTTTTTTTTTTAAAGAACTTTTGTTAGCACACAGTTTCACTGGCTTCACTGGCTAAGGCAATCCAGAACATTTCTAGAGCTGAGCACATTAATCTTCCTCATTTGAGTGGCCCTGTTAATCTTTCTGCAGATAGTGCTCATTTAAATTATTTTTACATAAGTCAGGGAATAAAATTTGTCTGACCTTCTGATTCTACTAGGCATATATCCCACCTTTTATGACTAAAGTCTACGACCTGAGTCAGATATGTTTACCTGTACTGGAATTTGACTCTATCAACAAATAAATTAAGAATGACAAAAAGTAATTGGAAGTTTTCTCCTGAAGTATGATTGCTCCCAGATTTGCTCTGCAAATGTTATTCTCTTGTGTTTTGGTTTTTTTGGGTCTTTTTTTTTAAATACATTTATTTTTTCCGTTGGGGGAGTGCTACCAAACAAAGGTAGTCTGGAATTTTTAGCCAAATATATTTTAGTCTAAAGTCATTGTTTTTTTAATAACTGGGACTATATTTTATTTTCATTTGAGAATGAATATTGAGTATGTATCTGGCTTTCCATTTCACCAGATTTCTTAGTGTTTTCTTGCGCTTATGCTCCTGTCTTAAGAATTTTTATGGCATTTTCACAACTTAGTTCTCTAATGCCATTCAAATTCTGGGTTTCCTCTAAGGCCTTCAGGAGCCAATGGCATCTTTCATTTTCCTGTAAGCAATGCATTTTTCTGTAAAATCTGTTTGTTTATGCTTTTTAGCATTCGCTAACATTTTGCATATTTCTTCTCACCTGCATGTAGTATCAATCTTGTGAAATTTTAATGCTCCAGTAAATGAGGTTTACAGGATCAGTCCAGTTACAATGAAACTCACTGGGAGTCCTTTTATTAACTTGAGGAGATTTTCTGCCCTTGTAGTAGGAAGAATAAGAGACTGTTGCAAGTGTAATAGATCTTTGTAGGGCAGTGTTCCCCAGTGACCATACCACGACATCTGAGGTACAGATAAACAGAGCGCATTTTATACTGGTTCTTTTTCATTGGTCACTGAATCCTTAACACCAGTTGTCATTTCTCAAAAACACAATACTTATCTGTTAGTTTATATATAGGAGTAACAATTTAATCCCTTAATATAACAATATTGACAGTAATAATGGCATCACTTGCAGCAGCAGTACACTAAAAATAAATGAATACAGTAGAATGGCTACCTTTTGAATTGTTTTATTGCTTTTAGCGCTTTGTAAGTTAGCTGATTTTTATAGTCTTAGGAAGTTTAGTAACTGACTGCTGTACAAAATATATATTTTAGCTGTTGTCTTCTGTCAAAAATAGAGTGATTCTCGGGAAAGAAACTAACCTCAACATTCACCTGAATGGGAAATTGATACATGCAACTTGGAGCCACACTTGGCACGTGAATAATCAGATTTTCCATATTGCCCCATAGAACATGGAAAACACAGAAACATGGAAAAAGACAGATGTTAATTAAAAGTCTTGAGTGGTGAAATGACCACAGACACGTGTGAGGAATATACACAATTTCTTCATTGATATTAGTGGGCTTTGGACCAGGTCACTTCTTTCTACGTCGGAGTGCAATATGATTTTTACTGAGATAGCAAGGCAGACTTTGTTTCAAATTGGAATATGATGTTATGTATTTAAAATCTGTTACTTAATGAAAATTTGGAATTGGTATTACAGTGTCAAAATCTTATCAGTGCTCAGGTAGACACGTGCCTGACCACATTAGCTGCAAACATACAGTTGCCACTGAAGTCAGCAACGGGTGGTTGCATCCCAGATCATCTTGACTTTTCTCACTCATTTCCCAAGCTCTGGCCCAAAGCAGTTCGTGAGCAAACATCTAAGGAATCAGAGTAAATGGCGATATGGATCGTACCAGAGAAGTGAGTGAATTACATATGTAAATGTTTGAAGAATTGGAAAGTTGGAAAGAAGATAGACAAATTTTGTGTCCAAGTGCCATATTTTGATGCCATTAAAATGAAATGAAATCAAACAGCCCTTTACCCCAGCTTTCCCTCTTACCTAAAAAAAGCAGAAATCCTAATGTGCTAAATGAAAGCTCCTTAGTCTGTGGTGGTTCCTGAGCTTAGTGTTTGTCATAATGCACAATCAAAGCAGAGTATCAGCAGCCACTTGTACTAACTGAGCAGCTTACGTGTGAGAAAAACTCTGTCCAGAGATAAGATGTGAATTTTTCTGGATTTGGTTTGATTTTGACTTCTTTGTCATTTTAACAGAATTTAGGTGTGCTGAATTAAATTTGAGGCTTCTTCAACCTGTCCTGTCCTGTCCCCCTCACCCCTAAGCCTAGCTCACAGTTCAGCCACTTAGTTGAACAATAGTTTTCTTAGAGGATTTTTGAATGCTTGGATTTAGTTAATTCTTTTATAGCTAAAATGCTATAATACTTGAGTAATGTGAAGTAATTCTGCAGTAAAATGACCCACATCAAGAGGACTTTTAATTCTATTGGGAAAGATACTCTCTCAGTAAAGGCAGCCATCATATATTATCTAGTCTCTGGATAGGATAATATTCTGGCTTCAACCGCTTTCTTCTTTGGCGCAATCTCCACTCTGACTGACTCTGTAAATACTGTTATGTAAAGAGCACAAGACTTGCTACTCAAGTAGAAGTGCACGCGTGTCCACTCACATGTTAGTCTATGTTTGAATGTCATCTGACAGGACACTTAAACGAGAGGCGCATTTTCAATTGTTCTGGTTTCAGTAGGTTTCCCATCAGTGTGGCAAAGATTAACTCATTGACCCAGAAAGTCACAAGAAGGCACCTGAAATCAGGTATTGTGCAACAGAAATCAGACACATCAGCTGCAGAAAAATAAGGAGGATTTTTTTTTTCATCTGTTCTATTAGCTACTTAATAGCTGATAATTATAGAAGCGTGTTTGAATCTAATTCTACAGCTGCCCCAAACTCTTCATGCACTGTAATTTTTTACAGTTACCCTGCAACATCAATGGGTAGTGACAAATGCAAAATTTTGCCTTGTATTGAAGAAGAAGGAAGAAAATAAGATATTGATCGTCACCTGAAATAGCACAGGTTGATAATGTCTAAAAAAAATCTTATGCGTGTTAATAAAAAATGAGGGGTTTGTATTTTAAAACCAATTAATATTTCTGACCCAGTTAGTTGTTGAACCACTGATCTTGTGTACTTGAGTATACATGAGAAAAGAGGACTTTACTTGAATTCAGAGTAGGAATTTGGCAGAACATTGGGAAGCTTAGAGGTGAGCATGGCTTTTCTTAGTTACTTTTTTCCAGTTAGACTGTTGTCTCCTGTGTAACAATCTCAGAATTATTTCTTTTCATAGAAAACAAGTATAGTTAAAAACAGTCCAGTGATTTTTCTTCTACTCATCTTCCTGGTGTTTGAACCCTAAACAGAGAACCCTAACCTTACTTTTGAAAAATTTCTGTTCTGTTTATTAGCTGATTGATACTGAGTATTTATGGTCAAGTTCAAATATGTCTCTTTAAAAATATTTTTTTACAGATTGAAAGACACGATAACTGTGCGTATGACTACTTGGAAATACGAGATGGAATGAATGAGAACAGTCCTTTAATTGGTCACTTTTGTGGCTATGACAAGCCAGAAGACATTAGATCTACCTCTAATACCCTGTGGATGAAGTTTGTTTCTGATGGAACTGTTAACAAAGCAGGGTTTGCAGCTAACTTTTTCAAAGGTAAATGTTAAAGCATATTTTGGGAGGTGCGAACTGCTTATCACTTGTTTTTGTACTAGAAAAATTATAATAGGCTATGAAAAATACTTTTCAACTTCTTTTTTCTAAAATTAGTTCTCTGCTATCTCCAGTGTATTATTTATCTTGGGCAAGTAATTCTATCAAACCAAAACAGCTGAGGTATTTGCATCTCCTTGTAACATATGTCCAAAGAATGAAGGAGTATATTGAATGCAACTTCCTACTCTCTTCAGGTTCAAATAATCAGCTTAGTTTTGGAACACCTTTGAAACATATCTAATCTTCTAAAAATTTTTTTTTTCACGTATTGTGTTATCAAATATAAAGTTAGGTAGTATAATCACGATAGAGACAATTGACTATTTTCTGTTAAGGTTTTTTCTTTTCTCTAAATGTTGTGTTTCCTAAGCCCTTTGCTGCATTAAGCTGCTTTATCAATTTATTGGTGAGCAAGAAAAAAAGAAATGCAGCTGAGAAAGCAGTGACCATTGGCTTCACCATCTTCCTGCAGTTGGTTGTGGGTTTTTTTTGGGGAGGGGGGTGCGTCATACAGCTGTGCCTGCAGCAGTTGGTGCATGGGGAGTGTGTAATTCCTATCCTGTGCTGCCCATGGCATGGTGAAAGCCCCTAGCAGTGGTGTGGCCACGGTGACACCCGGAATACAGGGCACAGCACCGGGAGAACCTGTTTGCTCTTTGGAAGAGCCACAAGCTGGGGCTTTTGTCACCCTAACTTGTAGTTTTCACCGCAGACAATTAGAACCTTGAAGGCTGTAGGCATAAGTGTGGGAGCTCTGTTTTATTTTGAAGAAACTTCTTGTCCTAGTGTACAGAAACCGTATTTCAACATCTGAGGAATATTTAACAATGAATCTCATGGGTATTCTTCCGAGCTAGCAGAGGTAATACGTTATTCCTTTCCCTCCCCCATCCCTGATGCATCTTGTTCCCTTTAATATCAGTAGAATGAAAACCTGGGATTTAAGGATTCTGTTAATCTGGTTTTGAGTATGAATTCGGGATAATGCACAAATTGATTCTGTGGGAGATAAAGTGCCCTTCAAGTGACCCTGCTGTGGATTTTCAATCTTTCTTTCAATACTTTATACAACCTTTAGATTATGGCTGCCTGAATTATTGTATGCTGCCCACAAAGTGCTTATAAATTAGATCTGCAGCTGTCAGGAGGTATTGTTGTAAAAAAACCCACCCCAACCCCACAAAGGACAAATTTTTATTTTCTCCATTGCAGGTCTTCTTAGCATTTGAAAATGCTCTAGTCAGCAACCACAGTGTGTTATGTAGTGCACCATATAATGGCATGCATACAGCTTTCTGGGTTAATATTGATCCAGCAATTACAGCTGAGGAAGGTAATTATTTAACACATTTTTGCATTCTTCCCTGTCTTGGCAGAGGAAGATGAATGTGCCAAACCTGACAATGGTGGCTGTGAGCAGCGCTGTGTAAATACTCTGGGCAGCTACCAGTGCGCCTGTGATCCTGGCTATGAACTTGGTCCTGACAAAAAGAGTTGTGAAGGTACAGTGCGTTGCTGCGTTATGGGCTCCTAAAGCTCACAGAGTGCCGTCGCTGGAATGAGACGCTACCCCTTTCGCATGCTCGGCACTAGCAATGTGGGATCTGTGGAACCCAGCCTGGAAAACCAGTGCTCCCTTTTAAGTAGTGGTGCCAGAGTAATGTCTGTCTACAGCGGTCGTCTTCATCTGAGCTCTGTCACTAATTTAGCTTTACAGGTTTTGCTGTGAGTCGTTAGGCTACAGCGCAAAGCAGGACGTTGTACCTCCCCAAACCACTTATTGCATTATACATACTCATTAAAGTGTCCCACCACGCATAAGGAGACAATTCTCAGCAGAGCAATGTGCCACTGTCTCAGAATCAGAATATTTAACGATCCTTCTGACCGCTTCTGACTGGGGTGTGACTGGGAAGGTGGCAGGTTTGAAGAGGAGGATCCTTTACTCTAGCTCAAAGCTCAGAGAAATCCTCCCTGCTCACAGTCAGATTGTGGACTTTTCTTGATGGAAACAAATTCACGTTTCAGGGTGAGCAAAGCATGTTCAAATCATAATCTAGAGAAATAAAAACCTGTTAAGTGGAAGTCTGTGTAAACAGGATTGGACTGAGATAAGCTTTTGTGTTCTATACATATTTCATATCAAAAGAAAGAAGCAAAAGCTCTTGAGTGTTACTCACCAATTGTTGTTTGATTTTTATTCATAAACACCAATAAATTCAGGGATAGCACAAATTATTCTTATCTCAGTTCATCTGTTTTTTTGCATTGTGAGTGGACTTTGAAAATTGGAGTGCTTGGAGTTACAGTTTTCTTCTGATGCAATTTTCTGGTCTCTTCCTTTTTTTTCTCCCGATTTCCTGGCTTTAGTTCCTGATTTGTCTCAATTTGGGGCAGTTTTGCTTAGTTTCTTTGCCCTTTTTGTTCTTTTTGCTGTGTGGGGTTGGGTTGTTTTCTTTTGTTTGTTTGTTTGGGGGGTGTGTGTGTTTGTGTGAGGTGGTGATAGTTCCAGACTACAGGTATGTTAGATTGTGGCTCTCCTCAGGCTGGCTGGTTTTTCAGTTGGTTCCCCTGTCCCCCAATTTTAATAGTGACCACATTGGAAAAACAATTTATTTAGATGTCTGCATGTTAGGCAGTGTGCAGAAAGTAATCTAAGGGAGGGGCCATGAAGACAGAGGTTTAATCTCTGGGCCTTTGATCATCAGCCTAAATTTATGTAAGGAATTTGGTTTAGTCTGCCTGCTGACCTTAGTCAGAATATTAGGGAATATTACCAGTCTTTCAGAAAACTCTTCCCTCTGCCCCCCCAAAATAAAGAAGGAATATCTCCTTGGTACACCCCAATGGAAAACCAACTCTGGCAAAATGAGAAGTCACTCAAAGTAGTGCAGTGCAGTGTGGAGCAAAAACCTGAGCTATCCCTAAAATTGTAAGAGCATTTGTTCCACGTGACGTAGCACTCACCGTACAATAAAAAAGTGTCTGTTCCTGTCTAGCTGATGGTCTCACACACTATATCTCCTTCAGCTAACACATAACACTTGTGACCACTGAATTAAAATCAACGTATACTCACAGTGAGCATTACATCCTAGTTGTAGTTTGGGATTTGAGGGGTGACCTAGCTCTGTTAATTCACACAAGATACTAGAGCAGAAGATTCTAACTCAGAACCTCTGCCCAGTGCTTCACTGCAGTGTTGACATGCACAGAAAATTGCTTCATGCTGGTCTAATCCAAATCTCTTCTGCTGGCAGCATATTAGAAAGCTTTAAGACTTTTTTTTCAGTATTTCCATGTTTCCCACCATTGCCTCAAGGAACAGCGGAGTGACATTGAAAAGCAGAAACTGAAAACTAGCGGTCAGTTTTCCTGACCCAGACTGGATCATGTGGGGGTACAGCTTGTGTCATCTGAGTATTGTCTCTAAGTCTGTGCTTGGTCTTTTTTGATACACTGAGGTGTGACCTGGGGTCTTAGTCCCCTGACTCCGGTCAGATTACCTCTTCGTGTATACCAAGGAGTCTGCTGCATGGAAAGCCAGGTGCAAAGAGGGAGAATGGTGTGTGTCTGGGTTGGCCAAGCGTGCCCTGACATGGAAACTGGAGAGTTCTCCTAGGTGTGTTAACTGAAGGAGATGTAGTGTGTGAGACCATCAGCTAGACAGGCATAGACACTTTTTTAAAGCATTCAGCATTAGCACAGAGCAGTTGGAAGAACGTGGATCTTCCCCCCACCAGCTCTTTCGAAAGAGATTTGTGGACGATTTCCAGTGCTGTCACAGTGCTGTAATGGTATGAATGGAGCAGAGTGTGACAGAGAACCCCTGCAAATCCCATTACTCTCCTTTTTTTTTTTAACAAAAAAAAATTACACAGATGGAAAAGATTAACGTGTTTGGTCTTTGCTATCTGAACTGCATTCACTAACATAGTATAGTACTGTTCTGTTGTGTGGAGGTGACAGTTTCCAAATATATGCTGAATAGGTGTGTTCTCTGTTACTTGAACATCCATACTTCAGCAGAAGTGACTGTGACTGAGTAGTACGTGACTGCTATCCCAAAGCAGTGACCCTATCTAGTAGGTGATGGGAGGCATATAGAGCTACATGAGCTGAGACAGGTAGGGCTGATTCTAGATCAATAATCAGGAAGAGAAGCTGGGGAAATGTGAAGCACATCTTAAGTAGTCCGTCTGCCAGAAGAGGGGTGGTCAAGGTCCTGGGGAGGGCGGTGAGGTCAGAGGACTTGCATGGGAAAGGCTGTGAGAGAATAACCAGAGTCTCTGGAGAGAAGGAAAAAGAATGAATATGATAACGCCTTGTGTAGTCCTCAGACTTATCTCTGCCCGCAAACCTGCAAGCTGTTCAAGATAGGGGCTGTCTCTTTCTTTTTGTTTGCACCAAGCATGATAAAGCAAGATTCTGATTAGTCTGTCTGGGCATTACAGCAGTATAAGTAATGAGAGGACTGAACCTTCTCAGCTTGCTTCTGTTTATAGTAAAATATGGCTTCAGTCAAGAAATGATGCTCTCCCTTTTAATTTTACAGCTGCTTGCGGAGGACTCCTGACAAAGCTGAATGGGACTATAACCACACCAGGGTGGCCCAAAGAGTATCCTCCAAACAAAAACTGTGTGTGGCAGGTGGTTGCCCCGACGCAATACCGAATTTCAATGAAGTTTGAGTTTTTTGAGTTAGAAGGGAACGAAGTAAGTAACTGTGAACAAAGAGCTGCACAATCTGTTACACGCTAAATGGCTTCGTGAGTGTTCGAAAATAGATATTGTCTTCTAAAACCCTTGCTAACTGTTCATATGCTGAAAATAACCACAGATACTCTTGTTTTCATTTTGGGACTGTTTCTGGAGTTAATCAAAACAAACACGGAGAGCATAGCTCTTTTACGTATCATCTAAATGTATACGTATTACAAGAAATTTAAAAGATATGTTCTCTGCTGAGTCTCAGCTGACTTTTTTTTTATCAACAAAGTAAAACAGAGCAAATGGCTGAGGCATATTGGAAAGAATTCAAGAGCAGAAAATCTGGAGAAACCAAATCATCTTTACAGACTATGACTACAAAGAATACACTTAAGCTCTGGTCAGAGTGAGGGACTGTTCAAATCACTTAAAGTATCTCATGGTGGGAATATTTTAAAGAGCAGTACCAGAAATAAGGCACAACGGATCAGCAGCAGTGTTTGAGCTGGGCAGCCCTTGGAGGTGGGGTGTCTTGTCCCCAGGTAGAGGAGAGGGGCAGGGCAGAGCCCTCCGAGTGGTAAGGGCTGCTCCCTGTGACTTTAAACAAAGTGATGGGTCGTGGTGTGTTGTTTGGGTGTGAATAAGTAAAATACGGGTTTCAACCTCAACTTTTCGGCCTCTGTTCTGCTTCCTAGGTCCTGCTCTGTCATAGCATAGAATTCCACAGCTACGCTGTAGCCATGATGTGCTGTAGCCATCAAGTTTATCTGAATATCCTTCACATGGTGTTAAGAACGTAAATCCCAGGACATTATTTCTGACTAACCAAATTTGCAGCAACTTTCTGTTGTTGTTGTTTTGGAGACGTAGGGTGTTCTGGGCATGAGATGTGAAGTGGCAAAAGCTGGAGTTGAATTTATAACTAAGAAACAACTCAGCCATGGATTCTCCAAAATAAATCAAAATTGTTTGCAGAGGCAACAAAGTGAAATTTATATTTTAAAATCATTTGGGGTGGGTTCTGAAGTCTGTGAAATTCCAGCTTACTTTTAATGATTTCTAGTAAGTTACATTCACATCCTGTTATCATTACAAGAATGGCAAAAGGTGTAATAAAATCTTACAAATCAAATGTTTTTCAACATTCAGAACTTTGGTTTGATCCTCTCCTGTGTTACTAAATCAGCTGCAGCTTTATATTATTAAGTAGTAGTACTAAGAATGGTACCTGTGAAAGTCGGGGGGGGGGCAGGGGGGGAATGTATTTGGAACACTGTAATATGTTGTCTGAGTGCAGGCTGAAAATATATATATTTAGAAAATGCTCTAATTTTAATGTTTGTTTAATATGTATTTTCCAATATTGCAATTTTAATATTTTACATTTACCATTTACAGTCTTAGTTTTATATTTAACTTGTAATTATTTGTTTTTAAAATAGTGTTTTATGAAGGAAGTTGGACCTATCTGGAATTACACTGAATTTCTAATGTAAAGCCATGAAACCATGAAAACTCGCCACTAATGTGTTGCTGAAATTGCTGGCATTTATTAATGTTGTGAATTATATTTGAAAATCGCATGCATTGATATGAATTTGTCTTAGAATTAATATAAATCAGCATGTGGCAGTAACTCAAGTTTTATAAATCTTTGTTTTCTTCATATTGTGCAAAAGTAGTTTCAACTGAATTAATCACTTTCCACTTGTAATATATGAAAATTGTTCCAGTAACAATGAAAATCTAATCTACATCTAGAATGTATTATTTAAAAAAAAATTGGAAATATTGACAATCATTTAGTATTTCATACGGAGAAAGAGCAAAAAAGGCCAAAACATCCTTTTTTATAGTTCTCCTCCAGCTCCCCTGACATTTCTTTTTTGACTAGAAATTGTGATTTATGAAATATAACTTGGATTTAATGGACAATCTAAGCTCTGTATGAATCCTCCTGGCCACTGTTTTCTCTTAAGCTATTGATTGCAGACAACTGGGACATTTTTGATTAAATGATTGATAGTTGAGCCTAAGAAGCTTAGAAGTTTTTGGGTGGAAGGCTTTAGGTTGACCAAAGGATTATGCATTGAAGGTATTATCATGAGTAGTAGGCCTTGCATAAGACTTTTTTTATTACATTATTTTACTCTATTTTATTTTTAACCTTTTAATGAAAATGACATTTATCAGACCTCCGAATTATAGCTATGCTACTGTTGAAGAAAGATGTACAGTTTTAATAGTACAGATTTATAAATTTGTAAATAAAAGAATGTCTTAAATATATTATGGTAAAAACCTATCATGTAAGTTTCTAAGTAAAAATTATTATTTTTTTTAAAATCTGTGGGATGCAAGCAGTAGAAGGTTTGTAGGTTCTGGATATGTGGTTTAAAGCAAAAAGATAGGTATCATTTTTAGGGTGAATATTTCTAGATTTTTAGTCTAATGTCACTGGAATTTTCACTTTTTATATTAAATGGAAACAGTACTAAGCATTTTGAAATTTAGATACTAAACATGCATTAGTATCTATCACAATACAGTTTTGAATGTAATACATAGTATAGCTATGCCTTAGTGACCTTAAAATATTCTTACACAAAATCAGTGAACATTTGCAAGCATTTACAAATGTTTTCAGAGTCAGGGAAAAGTGAAAAAAGACATTATTACCCTATTAAAGAGCAGCATATACCAACCAGTGTTCTTGGATTTGTAGATAACTTCATGCTTTTCTTTTGGCCAGCCAAAAAAAAAATTAATTTCTTTCTTTTCTCAGGTTTGTAAATACGATTATGTGGAGATTCGCAGTGGCCTTTCTTCTGATTCTAAACTACACGGTAAATTCTGTGGTACAGAAGTGCCTGAAGTTATCACCTCTCAGTACAACAACATGCGAATTGAGTTCAGATCTGACAACACTGTGTCAAAAAAAGGCTTCAAGGCACACTTCTTCTCAGGTATAGAAAATCACTCTTGTGTACCTGTGAGTGCCTCTGAGCAAGCACTGACTAGGTGGAGTGAGTACTATATTTTGGTATAAAAGTGGCTGGCCTTTTCCCTTACAGTTTTCCTGTTAGCTTTGACTTTATTTTATTTATATAAGCATAAACCTCTCTCCTGTCTTAAAATAGTGTTCTGAATTGTGATATCTGTAGAAAATACATGGAACATATAGATGTATTTTTATAACAGCAGAGGCAAATAAACTTTGTGAGATATGGAGGAAAAAAGTGAATTTACTAAGTGTTCCAAAATTTCAATTAGATTTCTTTTATCACAACTTTTGTTGCTGTTTTTGCAAATTCCAGTTGTAATGTAATACAAATTACATACTGTGTACATTTGTACTTTTTTCACTCAGATCTCTTAACATAATGCCTGAGTTATGAAATTACCACTGTGTGCTACAACATTTGTTTAACATTATGTGTTCTTTCTGGCCAAACTTTGCACTACTTAATGTTTTACAGAAGAACAGAGTTTAAGACTTTGCTCTGGCAAAAATGTGCCTCTTTTTAGTTGAGTGTGATTTTACTGAAGCAGATCAGAGCGACGGAATTTTGTATCATCTGAGGACATGTATTGTTGAATACAGTTAGAAGTGAGTGAAGCTGAAGATGTGTGGAAATATTTGCACAACAGTGGTCTCTGCAGTTACCCATTATGATCAGGCTATAATCATCTGGCTGTGGCAGGATACGACCTGGTGTTAGTAGTGGAATTTGCTTAGTGTTTTTCTTGTGTGTTTACACACACACATATGCATAGGTACATTATCTTGTGTAAAACAACACAATAGAACAGTCCCATCCACCCACCTCCCCAAACTGGAAGTCATCCAGAAGCGTTTGGGATTTCAATTTTGCCCGAAGTTTTTTGGTGGCTGTTAAAAATCTGAATCGGGAGAATCCTGATTAGCATGTAGAAAAATGTATTACCAGGCACTGTTATTAGCAGTTGTTTGCTAAACTATTTTATAAAAGCTGAAATTAAAATGGTTATATTTCATTGGTTAGCTTTAATAACTGATAACTATGACCAAGTAGTAAGAATCATCATATTATATAAGTGATGTGACCTGGAAAGTGAGGAAAATAATTGTCAAGACAAACAGTTTAGACTTCCAATGTTTTCCCATTATGACTACTTTGATGTTTTTCTTAAGCAATTATGAAAGATGAAAAGAAGTGTTTCATCTCATACAAAGAAATTAACAAATGTTTTACCTCCTCTAAACTGTGTTATTTTTTCTAGTAATCACATTTCTCTGGTCATAGTCTTTCAGATCCATCTTTACATATAGGAACACTTTTTACTTTTACATTTTGCATTAGCAGGAAGCTTTCAAGATTTACTCATTATTTGTAGTAAATGCATATATACACACACCAGAGCTTCCTCCTAGAAACACTTCCACAACTAGTCATCTCATGCAGGCCTAGGAGACCTGGCAGGAATTGTCACATATTTTGACTTTTTACAAGAAGAAGTATTGACATGCTCCAGTTCTAAAAATGGCCTGCAAATTAATTTTGTTACATATTTTCAGGATCTATAGCTATGGTAGATAAGATTGGCAATGATAGCTTTGTAAATAGGGTAAGCTCTGCAGTTCAGAAGTTGTGTTTTGTGGATATGATGAACATTTATACATATGCAGTCAGTTAAATTTTGGTTTTCTTTAAACTGATAGTTCATTTTCACAGCTGTATCTTTTTTCTTGATTGTTTAAATGATCTATTAATATTATGAGTGGGTTCTAGGAAGAAATCAGGCCAATGCTATACACTGGGGAAAGACTAGACTATAATTCATGGAGTTCAAAGCATCAGATTGTAATCCTTCAGAACCATTATTTACCTTGTTTTTTTCACTTCTGAATGAAATGTTCTTCCCTTTCCTCCCACGGTGAAAACAGGTTTTTCCTGGTAATTTAAAAAAAATAAGCATTAAATGTTGCCATTGATCACTAGAATAAATTTGTTAGCCAGGGATAAGTCTGAACTAATGTGTTTTTTAGTGAATAAAAATGTGTGATGACTCTTAGATACAGTATATCTTCAAAGAAAGATAGTTCGATATAAACAGTCTTTGAGCCTGTAAGTATATAAATTTACTGAGTGCTTCATAATGTGTTTCTGCCATAATCTCTTCTCTCATTTGAGTTCGGATAATTCATATTTTGTTTTTATTCTTTCTCAATTCTCTTCCAGTTGTTATCATTTCTAGCAGATTCTACCATTATCTGGCTTTCACTTTTTGACAATATTTTCTGATTAAAACAGAAGCATTGTAATGCTTGAGACAAATTAAACCTCTGAACTTAAAGTATCTAAAAAGAGGTTGTCATCTCTGAAGAATTCACCAGAAAAAACTCTCGTGGCTGTCAGAAAACACTAACATTCTTACCCCTGAATTCCTTAATATGGACTTAGTATGCTATTGGTCTGTCAATGAAGAACGGACTTGAGACTTCAACTATTTTGACTTTTGGGAGTTGATAGCTGACCACTGTTCAGCTGTTGAAGTGGCTTTTTTTGCCTATTTATATACTTGTCTTTAGAATCCCATACTTTTAGAATTATGTCTGTGGAGAAATACTTAGTGTCTAAGATACTTGCTGAAAGGCACTTAACAGTTTTATTTGTTAAATCACAATAGAAATATGTGTAAGCATATGGTTATAAAAAAAATCAGTAATGGGTTAAACACTGCATCTTGCAGTCTGTTCACCAGTAAAGGGCAGACACAGTGCTCAGCAAGAGAGACAGGTAGAGAAGTCAGATTAGTCTGAAGAGTAGAAACTGTAATATGTTTCTCAAGCACAGCCAAAGAACTTTATTTTTGCAACTCTCTTGCTGGTGAATTCTTCAGCCACAGCTATGGTTGAGAAAGCATGGCCCAGCTCCAGCTCAGACGACAGAAAGCAGTTTTTGGGTGGTTGGAACCTGCTGTGATAAACTGTGAAAGCAAACAGTGACACAGGGCAACAGATGACCTGCATTAGGAAGGTATTTGTGTTGATATAAGACGACATGTAATTACATTTTTGGCTCTAAAATAGTGTTAACAGCCAGACAGGTGCTACTGAAAAGTGAGAAAAACGTTTTTTTCAATATTCTGTAAAATTTACATTTGATGGGACAGTTCTGAAGAAAGCTCAGTTGGGAGCAGTTGCAGGGATCTAACTAATCTCCAGAGACACTCTGCTGTATTTATAATCAAGTATCTTCGATAAAGAGAAGAAATTAGGGAGTCATGAGATAGTAATTTTTTAAAACCCTTATTAAAACTTTTTGGAGTTGGATATTAGGCTTCTAAACCAGAAGCTTTCAGTAATTAGGTTTTTATTCTTTCTCTCTCTCTCTCTCTCTCTCTCCTGCCCTCCTCTCACTCTCTTCTGCTCTTGTTACAAGGCAGTAATCTATTGCGGTCTCCTGGGCCCATAAGACTAGAGGAGTGTAAAATAACTCCATGAATATACTCTAGGGAGGAAAAAAGGTAGCTATAATGTATACATATATGTAAAATTCTGTGATGATTCTGAGAAGATAGTGTAATGATTTCTTTAAATCAGGCTTTGTGTAGTGGTGTGATTAATACCCTGTGATAATATGTCACCCAACTGCTTCCATTTATCACAAGTTTTAGAGTTACTTCAGTGTTTTAAATAAACATGACTCTTTGCATGATCATACAAAACATATGTAGTCTTTGATGGAATACAGAAATGAGGTTTGTGGGGACTTTTTTTCCTTGGGTCATATTTCATTGAGCAGTTAAAAAAGAGAAAGCTAGACTGTTTCTAGCCTTGAGCAAATTTGTTTTGGAGCACAAACTCATCTCTGGTGCCATCCTGGTACATTTTTTTCCACAGACAAGAAAGCTGCCTGCAAAGAGAAAATTTTTGTTTTTGAATCTTGCAAGGACTTGATACAGGTGCCTGCAGGCCGAGTACGTATTATTCACAGACTGGTGGCCTCTGAGGGTCTCAGAGGTACGATCATTTGTCCTCTGGATGATTCTATCTAACACGTTGTTGAGAATGGATCTTTCCCTGTTCTGAGGACTGAAATGAGAAAAGAAGGAAAGTATCCATTCAAAACTGGGAGACTCATTTCCATCTGCCAGCATAACAAATGGCTTTGTTTTTACATGGCAAAACATTTGTTCCTATAACTAATAGACTAATTGTTTTTTCATAAATTTTGAAACTGGGCAATCAATTTGACAGAAAGTCTGTTCCGCATTACAAAGTGTGAGGAAGGCTCGTTCAACAGTTGCATCCTTGATTAACCATGTACAAGTAACTATTGTAGTTCAAAGTGTTCCAAAGCTGCCTCTTTCTACCTTCTGTCCGTTGTTTTACCTCTGAGGAGGTCCAGCATGGGACTGTTTGCTTATGAACTTGTCTCTCAAGAGATTATTTTACAGAAAATAAGCTTATGTAATGTTAAAATACTTTGCAGTATTTTCACACAGTTTGGTGGAAGATGAAAATGGCCAGGGCTTTTATTTATATTTTGTGTACCTAGTCTGTACTTGAAAGCCTAACCTGAATGCATTTGGAGCTTGCCTTCCATTTATTTGGTTATTTTGGTAGAAAGCTACAAACGAATGCTTAGTAAGGGAAATATTGAAGAGTTTTGTTCATATTATATCTAATTTCTCATTTGCTTGTTACTATTCTTCACTTGCAATGTGGAATTAATTTATAATAATTACAATAATGCTTGCTTTTGCAAAGATGAAAGATTATATCTTTTGTTTGAAATTAAATAGATTCACTGCTTCAGTTTGGGACTTGCATTGCAAGGTGTATAAACAGTGTATTCTGGACCCTTTATGCTTCTTTCATTATCAAAATGACAGCTAGTATAAGCCTTTGGATGTGTGATTCTGGGAGCTACCTATGTTTTCGACTGCTACGTAACCTTCAAACCTGTTCACATCTGCAGAAAGCTTCCAAAAACTTTTGGTGTAAACAGATTTGAGATTTACAGTGGATGCTTGGGTTTGACTTGCAGAATTTATCGATAAGTGTACATTATCATCATGTATTATAAGTAGAACCTGATTTTCACAGGAAGCTCTGCAAGTCAACGTGTCAAGTGTTGCATACATTTCGGCAGATAAAGCTAATGTGTATGCAATTATAATGCAAATTTCCTTTGTTTTGTTACTGAGTATGAGCATCAGTAAAAGCAGGGGAAAAAAAATGCATGAGTAAGACAATGAAGAGAGACTTAAATTATCCATAATGCCTTGTAATCTATAGAAATTCTTACTGTGCTCACTAAAGGCTGAAACATTGCATGTTACCTTGTTTGGCGATAACGCTCACCACTGCTTTTGCAAGGAACATGAGGCTGAAGGGAGTGAATGCTCTGCATTCCAGCCCTGCACAACTGAATCTCCGGGATGACCACAATTTCTTTGCTCTTTTTCCTCCTCTCTTTTGCATGTTGAAACCACTTATTTTGTAAGATATTGTTTTTTAATGTGTGTGTTTATATGTGTATATATATTTATATAGTCATATATTTTTGTACCTCAGGATTTGTATATATGTGTCTTTACATGTATATATACGTGTGCATACGTATATACATGTATGTGTATATATATGTATATGCCAGGAGCAGTCTGCCTCTTTTAAACGAACCAGCCTCACCTAAAATGACAACAGCTGAATGACATAGAAGGGTGGCAGCTGAGGCCTCTTGCTAGAATGACAGCCTGTTAATCTAGTTTGGCTTTTGTCCATGCAATGAATTTGTAGCTATTTAATGCAGGTCATATTTCCTCCCCTACTCTCTGTGTTACTTCTAACACACTAAAAGCTCTTTTGAAGGATTGTATGTTAATAAACAGAACTGCATGCTACATTGTAGATCTCCTTGAAATAACTAATGTCAATTTCTTTTGTACATTTTTCAATGAAATGTTTTTCTTTTCGTGATGTTCTGTAGTGTCCAGATTTGTTAAAAGTAAAGCACACTGTCACTCTGCTGGGGAAAAAAACAACCCAACTTACTTTAAAGTTTATGTTAAATCCTTCTTTTCTTACACATTTAGTGTGCAGAGATTGAAACCTTGTTTGGCCTACATGATCCTTTCTACATACCACCATTAAATTGTGGAATTTGCATAAAGTTGGAATACTTTATGTGCTGTCCACAAATTACACTCCCATTATTTACTGAAGTAAAAAGCTTTGGATGAGATATTTATGAAATTTTTACCAGTGAGACCACTTGAAAGAGTAAATGCTGGTAACTGTCCCATCTCCTTTGATTTAGCTTGTTTGTTTTACCAGGGGTCCTCTCTCCTAGGAGCTACCCGTCATTTCCTAAAAAGATGAGACAGACTGTTTGTGCCATGGTGCAAGGTTGCAGGCTGAGCAATGAGTGGCTAGAACAAAGGTACCACAAAAGTGCTGTACCAACAAGAGTGACTGTGCCTTAGCTTATCCTTTTCTGGACTCAAACACTCTGCTAAACCTTTGTCTTTTTGGTAATGAGGGCTACTGCTAGCTGTGATGCTCACCCGACCTTATTGTGAATTTCTTAGACAAGGATGAGTGTTCGAAGGACAATGGTGGCTGCCAGCACGAGTGCATCAACACGGTAGGAAGCTACGTTTGCCAGTGCCGAAATGGATTTGTGCTACACGAAAACAAACATGACTGCAAGGAGGGTAGGTAGTAATGTATATAAATGGTTGATTATACAACTGGCTTACAGAAAGATCTCTGCAGCTCTCCTTCCAAGGAAAAGAAAGCAAAGAGAAAAATCTTGGTAATAGGGGCTTAGACATTCGGGCTTAAACACTCCCGCATCTCTCCTTGCTCGCCCCCTCCATCCCCAGCATTTGTGTGTGGCTGAGTTTGAGGTCCACAGGAATGCAGTTTGGAAAACTTGAGATCATTGGCAGGGAGCGCTTTTAATAGTGCTGTGAAGTGTAGAACATTTAAAGCTGTGATAGAGCATTTATCTAATGCTGTATTAAACACAGGGATAGAGTTTTTGGAGAGAAGCCTGGTAAAGTTGTCATTTACCCCTATCAGTAGCAGTTAGTTTCCTTGCAGTCAGGTTGAAACTGTGTCTGCCCTTGCTGGGTTTATTTTAGGGGACATATTCAGACAAGCTAAATTCCAGTCAAATCCTAATGCATCTTTTTTCCTAGTCGCTGTCTCAAGGTGCGGCTACCTCCAAGAAAACAGTAGGCTTTGGGGCTTAAGTAGGATTTAGATTATCTGCAAATGAACCTCAAGTGTGCAATATCATGTGAGCTACTGTAATTTCTCAAGGCTGTATTCTAGCGTGGATTTAGCTTGTGAGTAAAGAAGATGTGCCCTTCATGAATCACTTGCGTTATCACTGGTGTTGGAATGATACTTGCCTACTCTGAAAGATTGCTGGTGAATAATCCTCTGATGTTTATAAAGCAATTTGTTAAAAAACTAAATAGAAAAATGAAACTGGTTTCATTCTTGCTTTCTTTTAAGTTTTAGTTCTTTGTATTTATTCAGAAATGTGCTGCTGTTGATTCAGTTACAGTGTGAATGACTAAGCTGTTCTTGTTATATACTCACAGTTTAGTCTCAGCTCTTCTCTAGTTGTATATATGTCCCTAGAAACTGTGATTTAGAAATCAAAATGATTTCTCTGTAGCTGCAGTATGAAAATCAGCAAGAGGAGAGAAAAGTATTGTTCGAGAAATGTCATTTGAGGTTGGAGTAGCAAGATTTCTCATATGGGTTTTCGTAATTATTAGTACATAGATTGGGGGGAATAGCAAAATATTTGATTAAATTTTAATACTTATGTATATACCTTTATAATATTTTTTTTCCAAAAAAAGCCATCCATTGTGAACAACAATGTATGTTTCACAACAATCAATAATTAAGCATGCTGCTTTAATTGCCATAAATTGTTTGCCAAAGGGGAAGAACATGTTCGTGCACACTGAAGAGCATACTTAGCTGTCTTCCTAACGATCCTTTCCATTCAGTGGGTCCCCTGACAAAAGAGAGTGCTTTTCTGGCTACCTCTGAATGCAGACCCCCAGACTAACTGATGCTATCCCTGTTGGCACAGCTGAGTGTGAACAGAAGATCCACAGTCCCAACGGCATCATCACGAGTCCCAACTGGCCCGACAAGTATCCCAGCAGAAAGGAGTGCACATGGGAAATCAGTGCCACCCCTGGGCAGAGAGTCAAATTGGTGAGTTTCTGCCTACCCTTTCTTTTTTCTCTTTTCTTCCACCAAACCTGCTTCTCAAATGGCTACTCAACTATATGAAACAGTTACTAAAATTTACTATCAGTTTACAGTCCACAGGTAAACTGTTTTAAAAATCTGCTGAGTCCTGTCCATTCCTGGCCAACTGGGGCTACTCAATATCATAAAGCTGTGATTTTAAGTTTATGGTGATTGTAAATACTCTGGACAGCAAAGGGCAGGAGGAATACTTTTCTGCTGTCAGACTTTACGATATCATTGCTGCAATTCATAAAATGTGCACAAAGTTTTGACAAATACGGCAGAGGCCATTTACTCAAACTCCAATATTCAGAACAAGAAAATTAGAAGTTATGAACAGTCCTCTCCACACAACTTTTGCATTTCTGTTCTGAAGTTTTTGAGGAGGAAAAGAGGATGCAAAAACCAAGAATCTGGATTTCTTATTTAAAAGTGACTCAAAATTTTAACATAAGTAGAAGAGCAACCTAAGTAGAGTTAAATGACCTTTATGTCTAGCTGGCTGAGGACAGTGCTGGTGGCTAAAGACATCCGAGCAGAGCTTAGGGAGCTCTGCAGACCTGCTGAGGTTACACAGCCTCTCTATGAAGCCAAAGGCACGGACCTGCCCAAGAGGCTTTTCTGCTTTGAGATCAGCCCCAGTGTTCCCTCACGCAGAGTATTCAGGAGACAGCCATAACAAAAGCTGGCCTTACATATTTTAAAATCTGATAAATTCATTTAACAAGAGTTTTGGAGCAAGTAAACTTCAGAAGAGCGATGTATGTGCTTCAGAGATGTAGAAGCAATAGACAATGTGGATGCAGGGATGAACAGGATATTGTCATCTCATAACTCCTGACCTTAGCCAACACCATAACCCCTGTTACTGGTGCTGATGTGGGACCGTGTGTTGATGGCTGTTCACCAGAAGTAAAATGGTAAAACTATTCTGGGGGATGTGGGGACTGCAGAAAAAGAGTGGTGTGTATGCTCTGTCCATTCAAAGGGTGAAAAGCAGGCTTTTGATTCAGGCAGCCTTCCTGCTGCCGCTTCTGAGCAAGCCTTCTTCATCCTGGCTGAATAAACCAGAGCCAGCCAGGCATGGGCATGTTACTCTGAAAGCTTTTTCGGTACTTTTAACCTCAGCAGGCAAAATTCCAGCATTTGGATTTCTTCAGTGAAACATCACATGGTCTGTTTTAAAAGTATTTTAAATTGGCTTTTGCCAAGGAAATTGGAAAAATTAGACAGAATTTAAATATATTGGATTTTCAAAAATGCGTCCATGATTTAGAATCTGAAATCCACTTTTCTGTGCAAGCCAGTAGGGTCAGTCTACTAAATTCTGTGTGTATAATATCTTTAAAGTCTTTCTAGTACAGGAAGATGCCATATCAATAATATTAGTAATATTAATACCATACTTCCACTATCGATAAATATTTTCTCTTGGACTTGCACACAGTATTTAAGTTTACTATTCACAGTTTACTAAATTTAACAAGGAGAGAACTGATTTCTTCTTCATGGTAACAAACCGCATAAATTGTGAGGCTGTGCTTCATTTTTTATGAGGAGCATATGTACAGAAACTAATCTTCTGCTGTGATTGCTCTCACTCTGATAATCATTGAGAAGTATCTTCCTGAAAAGGCTAAAGTTGAGCATTTGGTATAATTAAGAAGCCTGTGAAAAAATGGATATGCACTTCAGAAGTTTTAAATGAAATGTGTAGATAACGATGGCTTTGAAAATGTATGTAACAGAGAGAGAGATTTTCATAAGCTAATCAGCCGGATGTTTATAAGAGACAGACTTAAGTGTCCCATTCAGGCAGCTATCCGTAAGTGCCACCAACGTATCTACTCAGTTGAGTGCTATAGATAGAAAGGGCTGGATGTTCCGAAGCTATATGTAACATTTCTGAATACCATCCTACTAATGAGACAATCAAATGGGGACTAAAGGCATGGTGGGGTAGGTATTCAAAAGTATTTGTCCTAAAAAGACGGAGTGTGATTTAATTATACTGATATTTTTATTAAATTGTCTGTGAACTCTGTTGGCACTAAATAACAGAGGGAAAATTAGCAGCAGCTATTCAGTCATGTTCAGCTTTAAGGAAAATTTGTGTCAGTTCCTCTGTTTCAAGCCTGCTCTTAGTCCATTGCTGGGAAGTGACCACTTTTAAAAAGATGGTGATCGTCTGTGGGTGTTTTGAAATGTTAGGCATTATGAGCTTTTAAAAGACTTAAGATTTGCTTTTCCTTTAAAAAGCAAATTCCTTTTATTCTCTCTGTAATTGCTAGAATCAATTGCTAGACTCACAACAGATTCAGGACTTCTTTTCTCTTATTTCTTTTTTCTTTGTGGGACTCAGTATAACATGTACTGTCCCCCTGCAGGCTTAGGAATACCATAATAACTCAAATATTAAAAATAATAGGTGTGTCTTACAGTTCGTGATAAGAAGTGCTTTCTAGAGAGTGATCTTTTTGTACTGATGAGAAGTGAACAAAACTGAGAATTTTCCTCTAAAAGAAAATGAAGTTTTGCAGGCTGCTCTTGGATCACATCTACTGCTCCCGTTCATTCCAAGTTGGCTTGACTCAATTCTATATTTAAGTAACTCCCTTACAGTTAATCTCTCAGCTTTGTGGGGTTTTTTTAATCTGTCAGATTTTATTTGAGTATAAATGACAACACGTACTTGGCATCCTAAAAGTAGGATGGCTGACTACAATTTAAGAGCAGCAGGAGGGACTGCTGTACAGCTGTTTTCACTGCCTCTGCAGTTTCATTCCCTTAATAAAACCCCCAGACTTTGCTATGAAATGAACCAACGTCCATGGCATCACGCAGCTCTTCACTTTTCACTAAACCAAAGTGTTGTTCTGAATATTCCGGTTCTTTGGGCAAAAGGCTTTGTGTTAGCTCTTTATATTTCCTTTAGGTCAGCTGTTAATACAAATTGCCATCACATTTCACACTGGCTGGATTCCACAAGGGATTTGGTAGGTCAGATTTGCTTTGGTGTACCAGATAGAATGTGTAATTATGATATTTGCTCAGTGTTTGATAGTTCAGTTTTATTCCTTTTAATTATTGCTTCTTAATCCTTCAGTGTTTGGGTTTTTTCATAAACAGCCAGCTATGTGACTACTCATGGGAGCATTTATACTTCGTGCTTTTATACTATTTTGTTGAACAAAACAGATTTTTAATTTCACCTTTAATTGTAGGTTATTTCTGAAAATTCAGGTAGATGTGTATGTATATTGCCTTGTCAGTGTTTACATAACAGGAAGTTACTGATTTTAAGCTTTAGATTTCTGGTTGGAATTTGGCCCTGGTCAAAAAGTCTTTTCTGAAATCTCTTAGCTATCCCATTGAAATTCCATATGTGTAAGGCAGGTATTAGTTGTGTGTATTTTAGCAGTTTCTGTAGGATATAGCATATGCCTTTGGGAAATGCCTTTGACTGGACACTCTGAGAAATCTAAATTCTGGAAGTTTTTAAAAGTTGCTCTGAAGGGTTTGCAATTTACAATTTTTAATAGACCCAAATTTGTCCTTACAAGCTGCCATGAACACTAAGAGAGACTGCGAATCCCTAGGAGCTCAGAAACCAAGATAAATGTTTTGAAGTGTAGAAGAAACACCACAGATTTTAAATGAAGAAAAGTTTGCAATCACTGTGTTCGAACTATGGCAGCAATTTGAATCTCCTTAGGAGAGCTGGGGGCAGCAAAAGAGGCTACTGAACTTTTTAAATAAACAATCAAAAAAATTTTGCTATTTTTCACAGTGATTTCGCTAGCAAATATGTGATATTAACATGAAGGGTGCAGCCTGAAATATCGTTAATATTGTGGTAATACAAAATAGCTCTCTAGATAATGGATTAGAAAATATAACTTTCATGCATAACTATTCATGCAGAAAGATCTTTCTCAAAGGCTTTAGTTGTGGTGAGAGGTAAAAAAATAAAAAGGGGGGGAGGCAGCAGATGTTTCAGTCAGTCCTCAACTGTCTGAATAACCAATAGATTTCCTGCTTTTTGCTGTTTTGAATGTTCTGTGAAATCTGGAATTATCCTACAAATGGTACAAATTCAACAGAAAAGTCACAGTAATCTAGATTCAATATTCTGTTGTGGATATTCATTGGCTATAAAGATTCTAATCCCTTTTTATGCGAAGGATGTTGCCCTCTTAAAATTCACTGTCTTAATTATCATTCCACTTTCTCAACATCAGTATGTTATTCAAAGCTACAGACTTGTAGGGGCAGTAATGCTAAAATCTGTCAACTACATCTACCTTGTGTTCTGAAACATACTAACAGCACATACTTACTGTATAGGAACAGTAAATGCAGTACTACATTGAGTCATTTTGCTTTTCCCCCCCAGACCTTCAATGAATTTGAGATAGAGCAACATCAAGAATGTGCTTACGACCACTTGGAAGTGTTTGATGGTGAAAGTGAAAAATCACCAATTCTGGGACGCTTATGCGGCAATAAGATACCAGATCCTCTTATTGCTACTGGAAACAAAATGTTTCTCCGCTTTATTTCTGATGCATCAGTTCAAAGAAAAGGCTTCCAAGCAACGCACTCTACAGGTCAGAAAATCAGGATGTGCTTTACTAATAACTTCCCCTTTATTCTTTAGTGGAAGATATTCAGGCATTTCTTTTATAGGAATGGGAGGAGTTAACAGATAAGAACATTACGACTAAATGTAATGAAACCTGAAGAACAGCAGGAGAAGTCTGAGATTGCAGAAAGTATTCTCTAATCTTGTAGACACGTCTTTCTCCTTCTCGCTCTTTCTCTTTGTGTCTTTCTCAATTTTATAGGTAAATGATTAAAAGATTTTGCAACAAAATCTTGTAGAAAGAAGATATTGGCATAGACAATCTAGGAGATATTTATTAAGATTCATGCCATTAGTTTGTGAAAGATGCAGTAGCTTTTCATTGTATTTGTAATGGCAATACTTTGCTGGGGCATGTGATGCACCTCCATTACCTTCCTGTTCTAACTTAAACAAAAGTCTGGCCTTTGTGTAAACAGCTATTACTTTCCTGTAGAGCTAAAAAGGAAAGACAAGCCAAAGAAAAATAAAAAAATGATACAGAAGACTTGCTTAAGACCGTAAGAACATGATCTCCTTCACATTTACCATTTAATTTTGTTCTTCGGCAGAAATCGCTGAAATTAAGAAGTGTTTTGCAATTGCACTGGTTTATTTCGTGGGACGTTTCCGGGTGCGAGCAGGCTTTCCCCGACGTTGCTTGGCTTACAGTGGCCCCTAGTGCTGAAGCTCTGAACTTCCAGGGGCTGCTGGAAGATGGGGGGTCTTGGGGGTTTTTTTGTTTTCTTCTTCAGCCATAATGTCTGTCTTTACTTTCCAAAGTTCATTCTTATTCTTCCATATTTGGCAATAAATATTAATGCAGAAAATAATTATAAATATCTGTGCTAGTACTGACAAGTAGCCATTATTAATAGTAGATATTAATCAGAGTGATTAGTTGCTGCTAATACCATTTGATATTACCCAGAGTATTCATCAAGTTGGTGGTTAGTGCTCGACTAAGAAATTCTCATTTATCGATATTAGCATTTGCTCTTTTTTTGCTTCTGCTTTGTTAAGAATAATTGTAAAACTTTATTAATTTAATTTACCTTTCAGAGAAAGACAGAAAGGAACAGTATATGAAATATCTGCTCTACACGATCTGGGCCTGGAAAGTGAAAAGTTTAGCTCCCTGTAATTCAATTTTGTTTTCTTGTGGAAAATCCTCTTTTGCAAGCATGCCATTGTTTGCCTTCCCTTAGATCGAAAATAAGATAGAAATGGTAATAATTACTCATTTTTAAATTACCTCGGGGTAAATAGTTAAAGGTCAGAACTCTTGTTAGAAACAGGTGTTTTAAAACTACACTTTCAATTTACAGAATTGGAGCAGTCATTATGTTGCAAGAAGTTCAAATTTATATTCCCTAACTTCTGAAGATTGCTAGTTACTTAATGACTTGCTGGAATTTCCCTCATATATATATATATCTGCTGAGTTTTATGTGCCTTAACCATAAAAACTTTCTTAGCATGCATAAAGAGTGCTTTCCTGGGAAAGTCTGGAGAATAAAAACTGCCCAGTTTTTAAGAATGTTGTAAAAATTATACAGTTTGCCTCCTTAAGAGAGGCCACGTGTTTCTGTCGACCGCTGTTGCCCAAGCTGCTCGCTGAGCTGAACAGCGCGTCGCCAGCCGGTGCTCTGAGGCAGCCTTTGGGTGAGAGATGGCGCCGAGCTTGCAGCCTTTTCCTGCCGTCTTGAGCCAAACACAGGTGCTCCGTGGGAATTTTACCTCCATGCGTTGGACACAAATGTGAATGAGTAGATATCCAACAAGTGCACAGACAGTGGGTTGTAGTTCCTTATTTTATTTTTTCTAGCAAATAATAATTGACGGTATACAAGGGAAGTAGGCGAGGTTGTCCTCAACCCTGCATAGCTGTGCAGACAGACAGGGAGACCTGAGCAAGTTGCTCCCTTCACTTCTGACCTCTGGGCAGAACTCACTTGGTAGAAGGACCTGTGTAATAGAACAGCAGAGAAAGGACAACTGGATCCTATGCCCAAAGGTGTCTGTGCTGCTGTATTCCTGGCATCTTCATGATTTAATGGCCTCTTATTCTAGTAGATCCTGGTGGTGTTGTTGATTTCTCTTCTGTGACACTGTTTGTATTGAAATACTATGCAAATTCTGAATTTCTATCGAATATTTCAGAAAACAGGAGAAATCTGTAGGTAGCAGAGGCAGTAAAGTTTCAAAAAATAGATTGGATAGAAAGGCTTCCCCGGGTGGAGGAAAACTTATAAAATGCTGCTTTTAAAGCGCAACACAGTTTTAGAAAGAGATTCAGTTATACTTTCCCCTCTCAGAAAAGGGATAACCTATCCAGAAGGAATTTATAAAAATGCTCTTGCCAGAACATTTAGCGTCATTGCTCAGGGAGTGATTCGGTTGCCCTAATGCAGGCATCTAGTTCCCTTCTGGATGGCCTCATTTATGGTGCCTGGCCTCCAGCCACTGCTGCAGGAGGTTGCAGGTCTGCTGCAGGCCCTGTTCCTATCTGTTAACCCTGGGAGGTTGTCTCTGACAAATTTGGGCATTTCAGCTGTCACTCAATTTAGGCTCCTGTGTCGCTTCCAAAATAACTATAATAATTCAGGATGGCAATGCTGAATCAGATTTCTAATCCTGTTTCACTAGATCAGGTAGTGTGGATCTAAGCTGTTCCCATCTGTCCAGCTTGTTAAACAGTCAAGAGACTGCTACATGGTTTGTTCTTCTGTTTGTAGGCAGCCTAAAAGCCCCTAGAAAGGTCAGGAAACAGGAAAGGGGTTTTGTTCCATAGCTGATTTAGAAAAAAGTCTTTAACCTAAAGCGGCATTTTACAGATCAGAAGTATTTCTTTGCAGTCAGATGTGTATGTCGTATCTGTGGCAGAGCAGACGGACCTGCACAGTGACGGTCAGTGCAGCTAGGTTAGTTCTGACACCAGGGCTAAGCAAGTGCTGCTGCGTGGCCCTGCTCTGTTCTCTGTGGACCCACCACTGCCTGTCCCACACATCCCAATGCAGTGCCGCATTGCACAGGCTGGGTGCAGGCTTTTGAAACTACAACTTACTCCATAAGAAATTGAAATTTTGACTTGTAATTTCTAAAATCAATACTTTATCCTAAAATGTGAGTCTATAATCCATGGGAGAAGGGCAGAGGAAAGGGAATTGCCATTTTCTGCCATAGCTAGAATGGCTACAACTTTCCTTTAAGCTCCTGTCCACTGTAGAAGGAAACCATGCAGACAGTTCATTAAACATTTTCTCCTCAGCAGCTGTGCTGTGTCTGAAGCAGGGAGACGCTTTTGCTGTTGGCAACAGTCCAGTCAAAAAAACAAGGAAGTAAATGAAATAAAGAATAGGAAAAAAGGGAAAAAAAAAATCAGTAAATTAGAATACCAAAGAGAAATGTGTTTGAACTCTCTCATTTGACTAATTTTCTTTATCATGTGCTCTTGTCTGTTCTTTAAAAGCAAAAAAAATTTTGAAATTTCAGATTGAACAACAGATCATGCATGATGGACTACACTTATGTAATTTATATTTCCTGCTTTGATTCCTTCTCCTTCATGATCTTGTTAAGAGGAAGCACCATGTTTTTAAAAAAATAAGGATGCTGTCATTACTGTCATTACTTCCCAGCTGAAGTTTGACTCCCCAGAATATAATAGTGCAATTGGCTATATTGAGTGTGGGTGGAGTGCATGACACTGAAGTCAAATTCAAGTTATCAATTCACCAATGTTTAGAAATGTTTAAATCTTCTAATTTGATTCAGGTTATTATAAAATGATTGATTTCTAATAGCTAAATTTTGTTTAAAAGCAGATAGAATTGTCTCTTCAGTTATTCATTAAAATTGAATCTAAACTTTTGAGTCTCAGGTTTTGAATCAAGCTCATTTGCATTTGGTGTTTTTATGGGTGCTATAAGGGATGGATTATTCTTGAGAAACCAGAACAAAATTATGCTGTTTTCACTCAAATCTTTGTAGCTCTGAAGAAAAAAAGCCTCCACCCTTCTCTTGGAAACATAATAAACAACGCATTTTTTCTTTTAAGTACAATTTTCCATCTGTTGTTGGTTGCATTGTAATAGAACTTTTAATTGACAAATGCATGACACATATATGTTAAGTTACTGTAGAAGCTGAATTCACAGGCTATTTAAGATAGAATACTAGCTGTAATTACATCTGCTGAGAATTTTTAGGATGGACGAAGTACTAACTGCTGGTTTGTTCAGCACCTTTTCAGCAATTGCTGTTCTCCTTGAACAAATTGGCTGAAGAACAGCTTATTGGACTATACAGTAAACTTCATTCATATTTAAATTATGAACTTTTTGAGCAGTTATAAACAAGCTCTAAAGAAACACATACATTTTACTACTGTGTACAAATAGAGATCTAGACAGAAAATACTTCTTTGGCATAGGGCGAGGATCTCCAGCCCAGGACTTGCTTCAAGAGCAGGCTTTCAGCTACGAGACTTTCATAGAATCGTAGAATGCTTTGGGTTGGAAGGGACCTTTAGAGGTCGTCTAGCCCAACACTCTGCAGTGAGCAGGGACATCTTCCACTAGACCAGGTTGCTCAGAGCCCCGTCCAACCTGGACTTGAAGGTTTCCAGGGATGAGGCCTCCACTACCTATCTGGGCAACCTGTGCCATTGTTTCGCCATCCTCATGGTAAAAACCTTTCTCAGCTAGCAGCAGCTTTCTCCTGGCCATGATCTCTTGCAGAGAAAGTTCTATCCATAAACTATGCAGCAAGCAAGCTAGTGACCTTGGCAGTGGCACTTAAAGTATTGAGCTGGTTTTCCACGCACCACATGATGGTTAAGGTTGACACTCGTATGAAACACAAGACTTTTGCACTTGATTGCTGACTGTGTGTGCTAGAGCTGATCCTCCCCTGCCTCTTGCAAATAGTGTTGTTAAGCTGTGTGGAAAGGCTGTCACCACTGAAATGTGGATGCCCCACTTGTCAGCACTTGCTTTGCTGGCCACAGGCACCTCTCAAATGCCTACCTGAAGCACACCCTACCTCTTCAACTGTGTTCCTTACAACTTTGGTGTTCCCTGTCTTTTTGTCTTTCACTTGAAAATTATGAGATATGCTCAAATTTCTGTAGTTATGAAACAATTTATATAGGGAAAACTCAGAATGATGGATTTGTATTCATACTGGGTAGTACTTCACTCTACACCTTGTTTGGTTGACCTGCTTGTGGCATAAAAATGCACTCAGCCTCAATAAGACTGGGCATCTATGAAAAGAAAATGCTAATTTGCACTGAATAAGCTTCTTCGTCCTTATTTTTTTTCCCTCTGTTTAGAGTGTGGTGGTCGGCTGAAAGCTGAAACCAAGCTGAAAGACTTATACTCGCATGCTCAGTTTGGGGATAACAACTATCCGGTTCAGGCAGACTGCGACTGGCTCCTGGTGACAGAGCGTGGCTATCGCGTCGAGTTAATGTTTCAGACTTTTGAGGTTGAAGAAGAGGCAGACTGCGGTTACGATTACGTGGAGCTCTTTGATGGTCATGATAAGACAGCTGTGAGACTTGGTCGATTTTGTGGATCTGGGGTAAGTAACCAGGAGCTAAAGTTTTTATTTTCACAACAAAAAGAAATAGAAAGACAGGGCATGGGAAGGAAAGGGGCGAGAAGAGATGAGGATCAGTTACAACACCTTATAATGAAGATACTAGATTATCTGTGCTAGATTTTATTTTAAATATAAATTTGCAGACTTGTAGTACAACCATTCCCTTGAAATATTTTCAGCAATAAATATTCTTATGTAGTTTTTGACCAAAGTATTTTAATGTTATGTTAAGCTTCAGGTAGCTGGCAGTGGAGCGTTTAGCTGCACCCCAAAAAAAGTTAACAGGATTTTTCCTTAGAGAGAAATGCACTGGTGTTGAAAAGTATCACATTAAAATTATTTCAGTTTGAAAGAAGATGACACATTTTTCAGGGGTAGGGGAGCTTTGCAAGCATTTATGATATAGCATCATAGAATACTTTGAATTGGAAGAGACCTTTAGATGCCATCTAGCCCAACTCCCCTGCAAAGAGCAGGGACATCTTCAACTAGATCAGGTCGCTCAGAGCCCCATCCAACCTGACCTTGAATGTTTCCAGGGATGGGGCATCTACCACCTCTCTGGGCAACCAGTTCCAGTGTTTCACCACCCTTATTGTAAAAAATTTCTTCCTTATATCTAGTCTAAATCTACCCTTTTTTAGTTTAAAACCATTATGCTCATCTACTACTTAAATCTGATTTTAGGAAAATGGTGTGATTAATACAGGCCATAAGAAAGCCCTGTCATCCCAAATGCATCTCTGACATTTTAACTGTGAGACGTGGAGGAAATTGGCCAGGTGACATCCTGAAAAAGATGTATCCCATTTCTCCTTTTAGACTCGCATTGTTATGTTGGTTGCCTGCCTTGAGAAAGCTGGTGCAATGATCCCACAAGTCCTCATCAATTCTTTATATGTCTGCAAATGCAAGCACACTTTCATATATAGACTTTTTGCCTGAATAAAAGGTGTGAAAGGCTCTACATGAGATAGTAGGAGCTCTTAATTAACCGCATGACACCTTTTGGATTCAGCCATGGTGCTGGATCAGACGTCTCAGTCATTCAGATGACTTACCTGTAAGATGGCTTAAATCCTTTTAGGGCATTTTTTTGAGCACTTAAAGATTTGGAGATATTGCCAGTGAACTGTAGGCAATATGTTCCAAGGGAAAAGCTACAGCTGAGCCCAGCGGCTACTAATTTACACAAAAATTTTCTCTGCAAGTTGCCCTATTTTACAAGTAGGAGGGCAGCAAACTGGAGAAAGACACAACCTTGGGCTGTGTTGGTTTGGTTTTTTTTGTGAGGGGTGAGGTGAGGGGATGGGAGGTGGGGATAGTTGGGTTTTTTGTTGTTATTTTGTTATGGTTCTGGTAAGAGATGGATGAATGGCTTTAGAGGCCACTCAAAAGCAAACACATAGGAAAAAAAGGAATTAAATAGAAAAAATATTGAAAGCAAAATAATCCAAGCTGAAGCAGGAAAAGGGCACTGTTAGCATATATGACCACCTTCTCAGCTTCAGAAAAAGGACTTGGTAGTTCAGCTGGTACTTCTGATCAACGTGCTTCAGTAACTGAACTGGCCGTCATAGGGCTATGAAGAATAAGATCAAAAAGTGATACTGGAGTCATTTTTTGAATGTAAGTTTAGAATATTGTGTGTGGTCCTGCCCGGTCTCTTACATGACTCCGGAAGAACTATTACATCTGGGAATGACAACAGAACAAGGGGTTTTGTTCTCTTTGTCTTGCAAGAAATTATTTTAGAGATATTGAATACAAATTGGATAGAAAAGAGGAATATCCATAAGAAAAAAAAAAGTGAATGAAAGATATAAATACACAGACTGCGCAGATAATTTGTTTGTTTGTTCATTTATTTTAGCCACCAGAAGAAATTTATTCAGCAGGGGAAGCTCTTTTACTTCACTTTCACACTGATGATACAATCAACAAGAAAGGATTTCATATACGATACAGAAGCATAAAATATCCAGATAGTGTGCACACCAAAAAATAACACAAGAACCTCTATGCCAGAAAAGGAGAATGAGAAATAAAGAATGCACAGCAGAAAGGAAGGAAGGCGTGTCTTTTTTTAAAAATTGAAGTTATTAGCACAAATGTTTTATATGAGTTCTGTTGAAATGATGACTTATAAGACCAGAGACTGAAATAAAATAAAAAAGATATCACCTACCCTAGTGGAATAGACAAGAAGGTGATGTGCGGGCTCCATACTTGACTGTCTCTGCAAAGTGAAATATGAAAGGACTTTGGATGCAGGGAGAATATAAAAGCTTTTGTTCATGGTTTGACATTTGTCATAGATGCGTGCGGATTCCATCAGTTGCATTCAGGAGAAGTGACCCTGCAGACCGTTCTTCCTTCTGACAATTGTATGGTGTCCAAGAGGAAAAAAAGTTCTTTCAGGTCACACTCAAAATGCTGCCCTTATATCTAGTTGCTTTGACTTTGTATCCTGCATAAGGTGTGTACAAGGGCTTGAAAGAAGATATGAAATGGGAAGGTCTTCCTGCATCCTTCTGTATTTTTTACGAATTCATCTGTCATATCAGGTTATCAGTGTTTTGAAACTGGAAAATCCTACTCCTGAATTGTAACTGATCTTTAGAGTATTTTGTTTTACTAATGACTGAGAAGTCTGAACTCTGACATTGGTCATCACTAGTTGACCAGTCACTAACTGACTGAATTTGAACAGTGTAAGCATCTGAAAATGTTTGGTTTACTGGTTAAGTAAGCTATCTCTGATGATGTGCTCTTATTTTGCACTGAACATAGAAAGAGACTGAGATGAAAACCTGTCCCAAATCAAAACCTGTGTCCATGAGAAACAGAAATAGTCAAGGATCATCTGAAACACCTCCTACTGAATTTGGTTTTAGCAGCACATTTGGAACAACTACTAAGCTTTATTTCTTCGGACCTCTTTGTGAATGAGCTAATTGTGTGGTTTAGCTAATCAGGAATGAAGCTGCAGTAGTATCCAAGAGGGAGGTTTTCCAAAGGGGTTTTTTTCTGGGAGTAAGAGTACCTGTGATGGCAAAAAAAACAAAACAAAAACAACAGTCCCAGGATTTGTTTGTTATCAAGAGTGAATTCCTATGGTGCTATTCCATGAACATTAAAAACAAAAACAAACCAAGAAGTTTTAGACTTTTGAGCCAACAGCTTGCAGATCATGAATGTCTCACTACGCCTGGCTGCATCTAGAGAAGGAAGGCTTTACTGCTCCAAGGGAGAGTGGGTCGCAACGGCAGCACTAGTCCTGTGGAACAACTACTACTATTGCCTTAGAATCCTCGCACATGGTCAGACAGATCTTCCTGTAGATACACCTCTAATTTGATTAATAATTTGATGACTTGGACATCTTAGCATACGCTAACAAAAGGATCTTCAAGCGAAAGTCCCATCTGCAGAGCGAGATCATCTGCTGTAAATACAGTGACCTGCTTTTGATGTAGAGATATGTTACGTTTAAAACTGAGATATTGTATGTGCTTTAGGCCATACATGGCTTTAGTCATAATGTATATGCATTATGTAAGTATTGTATGAGTGAGTGCTCCAGGGGAGTGAGAGGTATTGTATGGGTGAAAACTGAATTGTTTCTTTATGTGCCAAGTTCTATCAGGACCCTGTTTGACTGTAGCAACTTCTCTTTGAAGGCTTCATAGACAGATAACAAAGACTTCTAGTTGGCAAGAGTCAAGTTTAAACGAAGTATTATGTTTCACTTACAAGAAATATTATTTTGATATCCTTTGATGTAAGTTGCTACTCAGATTAGCTTAGTTTCTGTTACCTTACTATGAACATACATTGGCACTAATAAATCTGACCTTTTTTTACAAAAATAAAAATCAAATGTCTATATAGGTGTCTTTGGTTGTTTTAATACCACTATTACTGTTCATATATTACTGTTTTCCTTTCCAGAGAGCTTGTGCATGTGAAGTTCAAACACTGAAGAATTTCTGTATTTTTATAATGCTGCTCTACTGTCTTTTGGCTCATTTTTCAGGGTGTTTGCACAAGAAGTTAACTGCAAACCATCTTCTCCAAGGTCTTTCACTACAAAATTCAGGCAGAAATATTACTATAATTAAAGAAAAAAAAATTTTCTTAACTTTGATACATAATTTATCAGCCAAGTGGAACATCAGTGCTCAAATTTCTGAGAGGAAAAGTAAACAGCAGCAACAGCAGTGTATCCCTGGCATGGGTAGTCCAAAGGGGTTGGGAAAGGCTGAGGCTGGGAGCAAGAGCAAGTTTCCATGTTGGGTTTTTTTTTTTCCATTTTTGTTTTCCAGTCTACACTTAATATTATCTCCCTTCCATTTGCTAAACAAAATATTTTAAGTCTTCCTTTTCTATAAATTTGGCTTTTTTATTCCCCTCAGGGTTACTTTAACAACGACAGAGTTGAGTCAAGTTTATTATTTTTTGGAAGGGTTTTTTTTTTTGTTGTTATTGATGCATACAGGCCCCTTTGTGTGTAGATCCTACTGTCCTATGCTATACACTGCAACTGGAGTAGTTGGGGAGGAAGGTTGGACTGGGCAAGCTGAAGGCGAGAACACTGCATAGTGTATTTCCAAGACCCCGTGCAAGGTGATTCTTCGTGGTCATATCAAGGTATTGCTTTTGAGTACAGTATGTCTGGAATTATTTCACATGGCATATGTAGAAGACAGAAAAGAGTTGCCGTAACTTGAATACAAAGGTTAATTTTATTTCTCTAATTGCTTATTTCTCTGTAGATCCCATATGCTTAAGAGTGGTGAAAATGAGGAAGGTGTTCTTAATGATTATCTCGATGCTAAATGAACCATATGGATCATATCTTCGCATTGGCCGTGATCCTAGTCAATGCCTCATGGTGCTATCAGAGGCTATTAAAAATGTAGTTATTTCCGAGTCCTAGGAGGTTTTTCCTGAAGTAATGAAAATCACATATTCAGTGAACTTCTCATTTAATGGGAGTGTGCCTTATAAATAGCCTAACAGTAAGAAAATAATGAAAAAAACCATTATTCTCATGAAATTGTGAAAAGCAATGTGCATTATCCAAAAAAAATCTTTGAAATGGAGAAATTTGTTCACAACAACATCTTGCCTGTCGAGCAGTCAAATAAACAGGATACAAAATCCAGTGGTCTGGAGATCCACCTTTGAGACCTAGTTACAAGGCATTTAGTGGCAGCGCTCCCAGCAGGGTGAAGAAGATACTTACTTTGCTTCCTATTTGACACAAACTTTCTTGACTATGGGTAAGCTGCTGAATTTAAATGATTTTTCTTGTAACATGATGTAAAGTTTTCTTCACAGCTACATAAAAGGCTTCTGACGTGTGCTGAGTATTATCCTTTAATGTTGTTAAATTCAGCAGAGAGTGTTGTGGTGATGGAATGTGCTGGATCTCTGTGGCTGACTGGCTCTTGAAGAATTTAAATCTGTAGCAGACCGAATTCTGCGATCAATACCGTGCTCAGATAAGAGGGAATGTATGTTTGTGAAAGGCTTTCCTTCTATCCTTAAAACCGAAAAAGAAAAAAAAGAATAAAAATAATCAGTGAAAGTCAATTAGAAGAGCTACCTTACATAAGAGCTTTGAAGGTGTAGCTGAAGTGAATACAGCAAGGTAGGTGTGCACACAGAAGATATTCTGTTCTTTGCTGGCTCTTTGTTATAATCTGCAACTTATTTGAGTCATCTTGCCTTGCTCTGAGACCCATGAAACAGCGAGTTGACCTAAACACGGGTGAGAGCCAGATCAGGTCCTTAACATAGTATTGCAGCATTACTTTTTCATTTAAAACAGATTGCTTTTGAACCACTGTAAAAAATAAGGTTAATTGGGTGGAGACTTTATCCACCTGGGAATCAGTTTTGCAGTTTCATTGTGTTGCCAGGGGTGCAAGTGGCACACCTGATTTTTTTATAATGGAGGAAATTGCTGTTGACCTCACAGGTTGTGTGCTGGACTTACTCTGGCTGTGCGCTGCACCACCATAGAGCGTGGACACTGCTCAGGCACACTGGAACTTTCTTTTATAATTAAATGGTTCTGTTCTGCCAAAATTTACAGATCTCAGACTTTAGGGACCTGGTATGGGTGAGTAATTTCAGGAAAGTATTCAGTCTTAAAATAGACCTGACCAGTAACCAGAGGGGAATTTTCTTTTGACTTCAGGTCTTAAATTGGGTTCAGATGAGTAATAGGAGGGGATGGGTTTTATCGCAGTAACACATGTGATCATACGGATTGGCACAACCTTCCCTAAGGACTTGCTGTTATTTTGATTTTATCGTTGATTATTATGATTTGTTTATTAATTGATCAGTCAAAAAAAGAAAGAAAAGCAAGAATAAACAAAATGCCTGGAAAAGTAAAATATAAAGATACCACAGATACACCTATACTACATACTACAAAAGAAGTAGTCTTCAAAGTCAACACCGTTGCTGATATATTAATTTTTCAATGCATCCTTCATATTCATTCAACATGCTTTATGCTATATTGTGTTCACTTACCTGAAGGAAGAGTTAGATGATTAATTACATTGGTTAGTGAATTTTTCAAGCAAAGAACTGAAGACAACCTAAGGAAGGACTTGTTCCTGGTTCCTAATGATTCATATGTTGAGTAACTACCTGTTTGTGAGAGGAAGTAACACTGGACTACAAGTCTTACAGGCTGCAGTTTTTTGACTTCTAGCACTCAAGTTTTACTGCTGTAAGCTGAATACTTGGGGCAATATTATATGTTATTCCTTGTGATCTAATTCAACTTCTGAAAATAATAGGCAGCTGCTTAATACCATTGTTTCATGGAGTCGGGCTGAATGAAGTCCAATTAAAAGCAAAAGAACAAAGAAAAATGCATTTTGCAAGTTATTCCTTGTTATCAAAGGTCCTCATTTCTCCTGGATTCTCATTCTAAGTTCACAAAGGAAGCAAGCTGTAGCAGTTACAAGAAATATTAGGGGTATTGTGGTGTTGGGTGAACAGTGAAAGGAAAAGTTAGCAAGGCTTGGGGTTTCCCTGTTTTGATCCCACCTCTGCAATTGTTTTCTGTCATGTTTTTTACTTGTAACCTATCAAAT